CGAACCTGCGCCGTCCTGAGAGTCATAAAGTCTAAGAGGGGCCTCTTAAGGGTGCGGTAATACCAAAGCACCCTTAACTACAGACTGGGCCATACCTTTGGCAAGTGTAATTATCGCACCCTTTCCATTTCTCCCCAAGGTGAGACGGTAATAGATTTCCAGAGGCACCCAGGTCCAACAGTCCATAATTATCCTCGATTTTTACCATTTTCCCGAAAAACGAGCAGCCCCTCCCGACAACTTGATTTAAGGCACCCGCGCGTTAACTAAGAAGAGCGGATGTCCTCGAGTCGGGCCTTAATAATGGCCGAATTCCAAATTAGACATCCTCGTGGTTTTTCCCATTGTGTCGGTCCGGTCGAGCCACCCTCGTCGGTCGTCCCCAAATATTTTCGAATTTGTCATAGCCAGGTGGAAAGAGAGGGGAAAAAAGGAGAGGCACCTATCGGCTACAAGGCGGCAGGCCGGATATATGGTCGTTGGCTGACGGTCAAAGGGGAATCCCCGGGGTCTGAGGCCCCATGGGTCGTCACATTATAGGTCCACAAGGCCCATGGGACTGTCAGTGGCACATGAACTTGTCATCCCTGGTCCCCGCTGGGCCCGACCTAAGAGAGACGTTCAGTGGTCTCATTCTTGAGACGTCCTGCGTCGCCCCGCCCTCCATTATACAGGCCGATTCATAACTCCTCGATCGTTACGCTCCTGATCTCGTTATTTCGGGCCCGATGCCGCTTTTCTCGCGCCATTCCGATCTCCGTCGTTCCTTTTTCAGGGCATGACCAAAGTGGCCCTCTCCGTATGCCCGTGCCTGTGTATAACAGGTATACCTGTACCTGTAGGAGTATACCTGCACGAGGAACGCGAAGCCCTCTTCACGGGGACTGCGAAAGATCGATTAAAAAGAAAAGAATACGCGGAACTCGAGATAAGGACGAGAAATGCGAATAAAGGATTCCGCGCCGATGAGCCCCGGGGAACGAGGAGCACCCGGGAGGATAAGGAAAGGGTTAAGGATAGATGTAAAAAGAACGCAAAGGAAGGATCCTCCGACGGAGGACCCGGCATTCCAGGTGCGCTGTAACCAATTTGTGAGCCGGACGATAGTGACAAATACACGATATTGCCATAACAGATCGCTCGGCGTGGGACTATCGACCGAATTAATAGTCACCGGGCCTGACTAATAGCCTCGTTAATTGACGGTCCGAGGGCCCGATTAGGCTAATCCGGCTTAATTTACTCGGGGTGCCTTCGCGGGACCTGCTTCGTCTTTCTAGGCGAGTGGATTTCGACTCCGATCTGGAGATTCGAGGTGGATAAGCGAGGTCCTCGCAGGGTCGAGTCCGAAATCAAATTCTAATTTAGGATCAGGCCGTAAAATTGGACCAATTCTTAAAAACGACACGATCTTTAATTAAATCCGCGTTTCGGTGTCGTGCGAAAATTAATCGTAAAGTTATATATGCGAGGGTTGCGAGAGAATATATTCCGAAGAAATAGTAACGCTTCTCGGTGGGTTTTCGAGGCTTCGAAGAAGAATGTAAGCGAGGATGGAAAATTCGGACGAAAAGAGACGGTTGGACGTTTGTATTCGGAAACACGTCGGAAAGATCGCCCTCGAGGGTCCTCGAAAGGCCGCCATTGGCCAAGTGGGCACTCGATGCACTCAATGCACTCGATCCTCTCGAGGACGCGCTCGAGCTTACCGGCCGTAGTGTTTAAGCGGTTGTACAAATAGAATACAACGCCGCGCAAACAATAGCTAAAAGGTTTGAGTTGTAACCCGCTTGGGCGCAAACGGATCAGGGTCCATCTTGATCCGAGACCGACGCGATCCTGGTCAAGGAGGGTCGCCATTTTGGTCCCGCTTCATCGTCCCCCTTCTCCGTCTCTTTTTCTTGTCGGAAAGAAAAAAGGAGAAAGACGGAGGGAAAAAATCGTAGAAAGAGAGCACCAGAAAAGACTATCGATCGGGAGAAAGAGGATCGGCAAATTGCACGTCCGGCAGGATCCCATTATCCTTTAATTGGATGAAGGTGCACATCCTTTTGTCCCGCGAATGGACGCATCGCCTAAAGAGGTCCTCTCGATCGCGTTTAATTGTTTTGCCTTGGAGATAATTGGGGAGGCCCTGCCTCCGAGATGACTCTATGATTTCCTCACCAAAGGACGGAGGCATAAGTGCCCCATTGTTGTACGACATTTGGACCACGGGGGCGGTGGCGGGCGCTAAGTAAGGGTTAATCGCCACCGACCTTAGCCCCTGCCCCCTCGCGCCAAGACGCTCTCTTTTTTTCCCCTCCTTTCTTCGAAAACGACTCCGTGGGACCCGCGCAAGCCGATTCTACCTGAGGACTTTTTTGCCGCGATCGACATGTTCTTATTTCCTTTACTATCCCTCGGAGTTATTGCCGAAACGCCCCTGGGAATCTCTCCGTCGTCTCGTTCTGTTTTGTTTAATTCCTCGGACCCGAAGGACCTTCTCGACCTTCTCGCCGTTCGGCGATCCCGATGGATTCTCCAAAAGTCGAAACGAATTAGGCTGGCTACTGTTGTGACAAGGTTTCGTAATCGGTTCCGAGCGGGACCCACGGACCTATCGGACCCACGGGAGCGTGAGATCGATAGATCTATCGATTTCGTGGCTCGAAAGACGCGCTCTAAAGGCATGCCCTCCAGCGTTTCTAACCGGTCCTCGTCAGGCGAGATTCGCTTATTCGGTCCCCCCCTTCGGTTGGGCACCAAACTCGAATAGGCATCTTGATTCTCAGAGAACAAGTTATCATTTTGGCCAAACAGCTAAACGCATTTGTGGAGATTTCATCGGAATTTCACCAAAGTGCTTCGTAAAATCAATTTTCCTGCGATCGTCAGTTTGACCGCGGGCGTCCTTCACCGTAACACTGCATAATGGCGCAACTCGTCAATTTACATTTCCGAGAGACTTTCTCTAGTTTCTACGGCAATCGCCTTGATTAGAGCAAATACGGTACTCTCGGCCACTGTGCGAATGAATTTATTGCCAAGCGAATTGTCACTCTGCCTAAACAAATAAAGGGGATATAAAAGGAGTCGTTGCGAGCGCACATGCGCCCACCTCGGCGCGCATTAGCATCGCTATCTGAGAAAGCATCGTCCGTTGCCGATTGCTTAATCCTGTAAGCTCTTAAAGCACCCGATCGTGGGAACGTGATCCCACGGGATTCCACCGCTCCGGGGGAAAAAGGAGAGTCCATTTCAAACGTCCGACTGGTGTTGCGGTTCCACCTGGGTGCATCTAGGAATCTCTCTGGACCCCTGTAAACCGAGGCAATTATCTTCGATGTATCGGGACGCGATGCATCGCGATCGCCACCAAAGTCACGCGAGACCGACTCTTCTTCTCGAGAGTCTAGACTTCAACGCCCGAGATCAAGCAGAAACGAACTACGAAGAGATAAAGGTACGTAAACGAACTTACACTCGCAGTTCTCTTAAAGATCGCCCATTATCCTTCATTCCTTCGCGTGTTCTTTATGTTAAATTAAATATGATTCATCCGTGTTATCTATGAAATCACGCGAAGCCAAATCCTCACAAAAAGGATTCGACGCCCGAAGTCCGGGGGAAACAAACCAGGAAGTCTCGGAATTGCAAACAGAATCCCTGTAGAGAGTTCAGAAGACTTCTTTGGGGTCTTGCGCGTAAATATTTGCCACCCTCGGACTGGCCCAAACCGTCGACAGCGCTGCACCATAAGTGCAGGGTAAACAGCCTTTAGGACTCTCAAGGCGACAAAGCTTTTCCGTGCTTTCGAAGCGACTTTTAAGCGAAAATGCCGAGAAAATATCACATCGTTTCTTATCCCTTGTGAACACGATCTTGAGCGGTATTAGGATTTTATATAGCGTCAAGTGTATTTTTCCTGGTTTACTACTTCCATTGCAGTATTAAAAATAATTCGATTACTAATATTATAACCTCGGTAGTTTAGTGGTCAGTATTCGTTATCTTATGATGCACAAAATTGTAAATTCCCGCCTGTTCCGCAGCAATATAAACGCTTCCCTGAGCGGAACAAACTCGTCTCCAGCGCCTCGTGTAAGAGCCAGGTCACTCTGCAAGTATGTAGATCGGCAGTGACGATTTACACGTGTCGTACACCCGAGATTTCCGGCTCGCCTAGAATACACGTATCCTATAATATTTGAGTTTTGTCGACGGATGCGACCGAGGCGCGTTCGGTTTGTTCCTGCAGGCGCGGAATGTCTTGCCAGAACTCAAACACGACCTACTCGGTCCACCTCCGTCTTTGTCTTCGACTTTATCTTAACTCTTGAACAAAGAGGACTTGACTTCTTCTCGGCGAGGTCATCTCTCTTCCCTTCTTGCTCCAAAGACCCTAATCCGTTAAACTTAGCGGCTTTGCCTTCAATTTCGGAGGGAAAATTCTCAACTCGGGCCACTCTCTGGATGTTTTCTCAAGATCCGAGAAAATGATCTTCCCGACGGGCACACCTCATAATTTCGAACCTCTGAGACAGCTGACCGATTTTCGGCGATATGCATCTTCACCTCATACTAATACCATAATTGGTCCATCCAGTTAACCTCTGAAGCGACTTGTTTTACACTTTTCGAAGTGCGAACAACAACACCTCATTCCTTGCTATACCTGCAACATAATATTCCTCGTATTAGATGAAACAAACACTTCCCTATCTTTTTACTATCCCTCGTCTCTCAAAACCGAAATAAAACAGTTTAGTTACTATTCGCAAAGACCAAGTTCTTCACTTATAATTTGGAGTATTGCCTGCTGGTAAGATAACGTACGTGGCGCCATCTTTTTAAACTGTCCCGATAAAGTAGGTACAGAAGAGAGCGTTGCATGGTAAACCATAGAATAGATATCTCCAGTCGGTAATAAAGCGTAATCGGAAAATCGACGAATAGAACGTTCTACTTTATCGATAGGCGAAACCATTCAAATGTAACGGAGAGGATGGATTAGAAATTCAGGAACCTTCCCACGTGGAGATCTTCAAGGGTTATCAGAGTCAGTGAACGCAAAGGGATGAAGTTCAAAGCATCCGGTCGGAGAAAGTGTCAAAATCAAGATAATTTCAATTCTGATTAACTTTGTCCTATACATGTGTGCTTGTGTCTCCTGCCAATATTTGAAAGGCCACCTGAACAGGTGGTTCCTTTCTACCTTCCCTAATAGTGTCAGCGTGAGGGGATCAGGCACCTACATTCATTTCTACGATTCTACACATAATGGATCATCGACTGTTCACCAATACTCTTATTTTAATTACATCGGCACTCACTGTTACGATGGGTCTAAATTACACCGACATTGATTTACCAGAAGAGCACTTAAAATATTATTTTCATTCTTTTCCTAAGATAGCAGAAAAATGTAAGAATGATTCGATGTGCCCTTATAAGGTGAAAAGGCTGATCTCTCTTAAATATAAATTTCATAACTATTAAACGATGAGTAAGTTGATACATTTAAATTTAATCTTTAGGAACACTTAAATATAGAAGCATGTTGGGGATACGAAGATGATTGCAAATCAAAAAATTCATTCTCCACTCCACATTGTCCAGGCGATCATAAAGGATGGGTTGCAACGAAGAAGGCACAGTTAGATACCTTTTATAATCAAGGCGATTTTGGGTACATAAAGGAACAGCGAAAAGAGATGTCAGTACTCTGTACTCCATTATTTTTAGTAAGTATTAATCTGCTTGTTGTTAAGATAAAGATTTAAGGGAAGTATGTTGATGGTAACGGAAATGAACTTATTATTTCAGGATGATTCGGCACTGGAGTGTTCCAAGCACATGAGATTCTGCCGAGGAAGAAATATCATGCTCAACTTTACTGATTTAATAAATAGAAAAGAGCCGATAAGGTACAAAATGGATGTTCTGTCCGAAGGACAAATTGGAGGATATTGCACGTAAATACTAAATAAAATATTGAATTCCTTTGTATATTTTTAAGATCTGCTAAATGAAAGAGCATTTTCTGATGGATTTTATTCAGATTGAATGAGAAGAAGCTGGAAGAACAAGCTGATCACCTCAGTCCACTGCAATCTTGGGGACCAGAACTGAGATTTTTTAGAAAACTACCTCAAAGACCAATTACATCGGGACTCTGCGATGTTGTAATTGAAAAACCGACATACATCCTGAAGATTGATGCTAGTATGTTCATTTGTAACAATTAAATGCTCGAAGATAAGAATCTCTAATATTACTATTTAAGATATTGTGTTACAGCAGTGAACATGTACCATCACTTCTGCGACTTTTTTAATCTCTATGCATCTCTCCACGTAAATCTCTCGCATCCTGCTGCTTTCAGTACGGACAACAACATCCTGATCTGGGAAAGCTACAAGTATACATATGAATCTTTTATAACTACGATACAATGCAAAACTATTAATAATATTAATTTTTTTAGCTATAATTCTGCATTTAAGGACACCTTTAAAGCATTTACAAGGAACCCACTGTGGGATCTTAAGACATTTAGAGGAGAGACAGTATGTTTTAAAAATGTAGTATTCCCTCTATTACCTCGTATGATCTTCGGTCTATACTACAACACGCCTCTTGTGAGTAACAAATTCTTCCTTCATATGATTCTTCGTGAAAACAATCAAAACAATAATCAGTGCTTTAATGATGTTTAGATTTATGGCTGTGAAAAAAGTGGGCTATTCAAAGCTTTCAAAGAACACGTTTTGCATCGTTTAAAAATTCCACTGCATCCAAGAAAGAGTTCGAAGATCCGGGTAGTTCTACTCAGTAGAGATACACAATATAGAAACATTTTGAATCAGGATGAACTGGTAACTGCTTTGAAGAAAAATCCTAATTACCACGTTAAGAAGGTATTTATCTGAATTCTCCGAAATATTAAAATGGCTTAACTTCGGTGAAAAAAAATATTTACAAAAACGGATAATCATGCAAATATTGGAATAATTTAGTTACATTGGTTTACAGGCAGTTTATAATAAAAATATGTCATTTAAAAAGCAGCTGGAAATCAGTAGTAACGCAGATATTTTCATTGGCATCCATGGCGCAGGATTAACTCATATGATGTTCCTCCCAGATTGGGCGGCAGTCTTTGAATTGTAAGTGTTCAGAAATCATTTAAAATAAGTCAGAATACTAGATCTACAGAAACATTACAGGTACAACTGTGAAGATCCTAGTTGTTACAAGGATTTAGCAAGGCTACGTGGAATTAAATACTTCACATGGGAAAATCTCGAAAAACTCGTCCAACAGGATCCTGTAAGAACTTCAGGATTGTTAACGTAACTTAATATAATTTGCCACTGTGCTCATATTTTTCATCCTTTCTCAGGGAACTCATCCAGATGGCGGAGCTCATGCCAAATTCACTAATTATAGCTTTGATGTCAAGGAGTTTTTGCGCATCGTCACACTAGCAGAAAAACATGTAAAGAACCATAATAAGTTTAAAGACTTTATGATGAAGAGCTTAGAAACAAATTTAACAAATCACAAAAATCTAATTAGAGACGACCTATAACAAGAGGTGTAACATTTTTGTAGGTATTGATATTTGATCAATTTTGATAATGTAGTTATATTTTAAATGTTACATATTCTGAGATTATTTGTAGAAAAGTATTAAATCATTTACAGACCTATGCCAGGAGATACAAGATTTGTACAAAGTGATCTTTTTATTAAAGTATAGAATTTCCTAAAAAATCTTTATTAAACGTGATTTTATTTTGTGACCTATCGAACATCAATACTATGGCAGAAACAATTGCCTTTGGTTTACATTCGTATTCGTTAGAGCTTAATATGTACTTTATATCTGAAAAGTATTACGCAAATTAGCATATTCACAGCTGCATAAACCATGATCACCTGTATAGCTCTTAAATTATCGGTATATAATGTCCGTATTGCCATATTAATGGCACCTGTCAAAAGATTAGCCAACAGGAAAAATGCTAACCCATTATAATTAACTGCTTCAAAAAGTTCAGGTATTCTTCTAATTGAACCACATTCTGATTCATTAAATTTCTGGTCGTTGCCTTTTTGCATCTTTCCAGCATCCTTCTCTGACGATGTTTTGTTTGTCACAGTAGCATGTATTAAAATATCAGAAACAATTTCTACAAGTAGGAGTAATGTGAGCATTGCAGTACTCAAGGTAGTAATCCAGGCACAATATCCAGCATTTGTCAATCTTCGCGAAACTCCAAAATAAGAATCACAAACCAAAGTAACCGCACATGCCTGGGCTGCTATTAATGACAGTTTAATGCACAATACCATTGATTCGTTATACTCTATCTCTAACGACTGCTTTAGAATTCCAAGTACAGCACTTTGGTGCTTGCGAGCTTCCGGATTTTCATTCAAAGAACGATATGTTGCATGAACGAGTCTTCCCACAGCAACTCCAACAAAATATAGTCCAACATATCCTGGTGCTGAAATAAGTCCTTCTCTGTTTGCCGATATAAAATTATCCCTTGGTGCATTACTTAAAACCCACTTTTTCAGTCCAACATTACTCAAAGTATACTCATGCATCATTATAATCCAAATACCAGAAAGCAGTGAATATCTTGAGCTTATGGTACTAGTAATCAAGCTGGCAAATATTCTAACAAATGCCAGTGTTACAAAAAAGTTCCAGTGTACTCCATATTCCGTAACATGGCGCTGATACTGCAAATACTCCACTGCAATAAATCTGCTCATCCCAAGAAGCAGTAAAGACATGCTGTCTTTAAGAGAGCTTATCAGACTTCTTAACAGTGACCTAAAAAAGTATTTCTTTGGCTTCTCTCCAAAATCCCGAGCTTCCGGAGCTACAAGGGCATTCGCAACCATGAAGAGACCCACACCCGTATCCATCAAGCTGTACCCATATACTTCGGTCTTTGCCAATTTTCTCGGAAAGACTTTAAAGTCAACCGCAAGGATACAAATTATTGTAATCACATTAGTGAGAGCTCGGAAGATCGTAATGAAAGGACGTTTACCAATCATTGGTCTTGGCTCCGTAGCAGATAGCGAATATATAGGAATCCTCATAAGAAAAATATTTATGAGGGACAACATTATCATAGTAACACAGACGGACACGACATGTTGCGAGAGCACCGTACAGCATAATATGCATGGCACAATGATTAACAAAAACTCTAGGAATGTCTTGACGTTTTTGCTCAAGTATTGACCAATCAGACCCATCGTGGTTGTCGTCAAAAGAAGACTGCAGACATTTGGCATAATCAAGAAAATGGTTTCTTGTGCCGTCGTGCCGCCGTGATTTGAAACGAATTCCTCTTGCTGCCGTCTATAGCGTTCATCGTCTTTAGTAATCATATTTTCTTAAGCCGTCAACTTCGTTATTATCTTTTACATTTGTTTGGCATGCGACAATAGATTAGGTTAAGTCAGTTTACATAACGCTATTTCATTATTCTCTCGAAATTCTCTCATCTAGGTTATAAAGTTCTAAACCTGTTTCAACAATTCAGTCTCACGGTTAAAATAATAGTTCTTTTATGCATATTCGTGGACTAATCAAACTTGAACCACCGACTTATTCGCCACTGACGACACCAATCCAACCCTAACCTTATCTGATGAAGCCGATTAATTCCCACACACTTGCCCACGCATACGCAGCCCTATATTTCTATGCAATTAAAAGCAAACCCGTTTCTTACTTCCATATTTGTGCATTTTTAAACTTGACACGAATAAATATCTTCTATTTCATGAATCTACGTCAAACTTACGGCAGGTTAATCTGTAATCATCAACTGTTTCTCTTTCTGATTATGAAACCAGAGATGAGTTGGCTCCCAACTCATCTCTGATCAGAAATTCGTTGCGCCGCCCTTGGGGGCAAAAAACGGTGAAAGCTAACGTACGAAACCAGAGGGCAGCACAGGATGCGATCTTACGATCCTGCCCGTGAGCAATCTCCCGACTCATCTCTGCTCATCACTGCGTTCCATTATCAAATTTTATTATAAACTGTGAAAGTAGTTCATAAAAGTAGAAAAAAATGAAACGGTTGCCAGAGGACAAAATGAAACTTTTGTTTGAAAAATTATCAAAATAGTAAGTTAATACAGAGATTTCTAGAGGTTATGGTTTGCATTTATAATCATATTAAGTTCATTTCATTAATGTACAGAATCATGGAACTTTATACACTTTCCGAGATCTGCATTTCAAATCATGCTTATTTCTTTTCAGTATCGGCGAAAACGTTAAAGTTCTTGTGGATCGTCCTGATGGCATTTATTGTTTTCGAGAAAAGAAAAACCGAGTCTACTACGTATCGGAAAAGATTTTATCATTGGCTAATACAGTTAGCCCAGACAATTTAATCAGTGTAGGCATATGCTTTGGGAAGTTCACAAAGACAGGAAAGTTTAGGTTACATATTACTGCGTTACACTATTTGGCTCCATATGCACAGGTAATTGTAACTTGAATCTCTGTTTAACATACCTCATATGTCAAGTCAAAATTGAAATTTCCAACTTTCCAGTACAAAGTATGGTTAAAGTCATCAGCAGAACAACAGTTTTTATATGGTCATCATATAACGAAGTCTGGGCTAGGTCGTATTACAGAAAATACCCCGCAGTATCAGGGAGTTATTATATATTCCATGAATGACATACCTTTGGTACGTAAAAAATAAAATGGAGGTATAGACATTCTGAAGTAAAATATAATGAAGGTCTTTTTCAGGGCTTTGGTGTTGCTGCTAAAAGTACAGCAGATTGTAAACACGTCGATCCAATGGCAACTGTCTGCTTTCATCAAGCAGACATTGGAGAATACATTCGTTCGGAAGATGCTTTACTATAATGAATATGACTGTATGTGTAATGATATTCCCAACATTAAGACAATTTTTTATAAAGTTAAAAAAATAACGTTTATTTTACACCTATTGTACATTTTCTATTCAGAAGACAGCTGTTGCGCTCTTGATAAAAGAGTGAATCCCATTAATTCGTTACAACCGTCTTATGCTACCTTGAGTGTAAGGCACAACCAAAAAATCAATACAATTAAAATTACACGGCATTACAAATTTATGATATTTTGTAATCATAGTTGTAGGCAAACTATTACAAGAATCTTCTCCAGGGGAAAAGAAACATTAAACGTTTCTTATGTTCGTACGTAAAAGAATATAAATATTTCTTTATCATTTAACATATTTCTGTTGCTAGTGTTCCTCTTTTAACGATTAAATAAAGCTATTGACCACCCATTTAATATATGATGCAACTTACAAAATGCACTTGTAATCTCAACAAACGTACTTAGAGTCTTCAAAAAAAAAAAAGGAGAAAACGATAAATAACCACAACAGAAAACCTAGTAAACACGCAATAATACATCCTACACCCTACCGGACAATAATCAGTTCACCTGTGGAAATGATCACTATTTCCAACCTTAAGCAGAACATTGAACAGAGATTCATTTCTTCTGATAACATTGAATAAACATTATCACCGGGTTGTAAACCAGGTACTTTGCACATCTTAGATTAAACCCTCTAAGATGTACTGCATATTGTCTAATTTTCCACACATTGTAAAAATAAAATATAGAAACTAACACGACATACGAGAAAAAAATAGGAAGCATCCTTTTCTATAGTTCACAACATTGCTTCACCTCAGTCTCACATCCAAGTAAATTTTTGATTGGAGTGAATCACAGTTTTCTCTTATTTCTTTTTTTGTTTAACTAGAATTATTTATAAAATCTCTACCGACGTCCGAAAAACTTTTGATGATTAAATTATGTTACTACCTGTCATGCATGAGTTAGTTTTTTAAAAACCATTAAAAAAATATCACCGATTATTAGCAATATGACAGAACTCTTGACAGTGTTGCAATTGTAGGAAAGTTTTTGGAAGACATGATTTCATAGTAGCAGAAATAACTTGTATCTTGTCGTTACCAGCCTCTGGCAAGCCTCAAAAATGATCTTCCTTCCAAATACAACTATTTGCTTTTAGAAAGTCTAGAGTTATCAACAAGTCTTACTGTATATCATCTCATAAAAACAACTGTTACTTTTGAAACTGGTTCAATGACTGAATTAATAAATCCCAACTCATTGTCTTGCCTCCTTTAGGAGACAGTCAATAAGTTGGCAGGCACGTAAGATAACCTATAAAAATATTATACTCTCGCTTTACGTATCACTTTGATAATCTTTTCAATCCACGATCATTATCTTGGAATAATTTCTTCGCCATAGAAATCAAACTGCCAAACCTGATCAGGTGCGTCAGAACAAGTTCTTGCTACAACATCTTGTTCAGAGTTACGATCAGTACCATCTAAGCACAAGCCAGTTTCCACGTGGACAATTTTACCACCCTGGAAATGATTTCAAAACAATTTCATACATTAGACTTTTCTGCCGAAAAATAATAATCTGTGCAGTACACTTACATCAGAGAGTAACCATTCTTGATTTCCCTTTGAGCCAGAGCACTTAGTCATTTGAACTTTCATATGCTTCTTTGTCTTTGGATTATTTATTACCCTGGCACAAGATTCCTCCCTCCGTAATTCACCAATGTTGCTCAGAGAAAAGAACTACAATTTAATAACATAGTAAAGAAATATTTGGTCATCTTCGTCTTAATAGACTTTTGTCACAAATTTTACTGACATACAAACCTGACTGGGGAAGACTTTATCATGACAACTGTAGAGACCTAGGTTATAAGGTTTCTCTTCATTCCGCTGCAAATTATCCAGGCAAACATTTCGACCTCGCAGTTTCACTCTACCGTACGCTATTACATTTTCATCCGGAATGAATTTCTCAGGGTAGACATTCTCCAAGTACCACCGGAAACTCTTACAACCTAATCTCTCTCGTAACTTTAGTCGTTCACTAATATCACCGATCAATTCTTGATCATCCTAGTTTTCATTTAACAGAAATAACAGAAAAAGAATTTAATACAAGAATAAACTATAATCGAAACATTAGTACATATTAGGAAAATTACTTGCCATACCTTAAACTCGTCACGATGTAATAAAAATAATCTTTTATATTCATCCATCCACACATAAGCCAATCGTGCAGTATTTATACCATGGGTGTCTTTGTCGTTTGGAAACTTGTAAGGATGAAAGTCCCTAAAAATGTGGCCAACTCGAGAGCAGGGTATAGTCTCCAAAGTTCCCCCGCACTGCCAAACCTTAAAAGAAGTTTTCTGTCAGAAATGTAAGAAACAGATGATTTTCATTCATGTTTCTTAATTACTGCAATATTCATAAATGATTACTCTGAACGACATCTCCAAGTTCTCTCCACCCCAGCCATCCATTTTGTCGTCATAGCTGCCAATCTGCCAGAAGTACTTTCTGTCTATCGCAAAGAGTCCACCTGCCATTGTTGGTGACTTGGTAGGTGAAATAGGAGACGGTCGAAATCGAAGTTCATCTTCTTGAATATTTATCCACATGAAGTGGCCAGACCAGGTAAACCCACCAACTTGGAAATAGGATGGTTCGTTACCATGGAAATATTCTAAAGTTTCATCCGATATATTGTCAATAATTGGCATCAGTACTGCAGTGTTCTTCTCTTTAATTCTTTGCAGCAGAGGCTCCAGCCTAAAAGTAGATATACCAGGTTCTCCGAATATTTAATTCACTTATAATCAAGAGATATTCACCATTCTTGAATTACTTCACAATGCGCATCAAGGAAGACCAGTACATCACCGGTAGCATTTTTTGCACCAGTGAGACGAGCGCGTATCAATCCCAGACGCTCCGGCAACCGAAGAAGCCTGACTTTTGTTGGCAAGCGTGTTGCCAAGTAATAATCCAACTGGCCTTGCAATTCCTCTAAAAGTAAAGCATTTCATATGAATTTCACTTACTAGACTACCAACAAATCATTTCCCATATGAGAATACATTTGGATTACCTTCGTCACTGTGATCGTCTACTAAAATTACTTCTTTTAATAGATAAGTAGGTGAACCACCCAGAACACTGTGTACAGTTCGTAGCAAAACACTCCATGGTTCGTTGTAAAAAATTATGACTACACTAGCAGTTGGTAAGTCTTTATCGTACGTAATATCCATGCAACTGTGATAATACTTTAATTACATTCCGCACTTAATAAAAAATAAAATAGAAATTCTTAATTGGAAAGCACTTTACCTAGGATCGCGTACGTCTGGTAATTTCCTCGTTAAGGATATTTGATTGGAAACAATGATATTAAGTGCTTTCGTCCGCAGAGCTTTTTCTCCTTCGATTTTCTCTTCTCCTTCTAGGTAGACCGGTTCTCCTCCATCTCCAAGACCTGGTACAATTCCATTCTCAAACTTCTGGATTGCCTTTTCAAATCTGAAACATTCCCAAGCTACTGTTGCATAAGCTTCTTTACATTTTAAACACAAAACTAAATATGCCACAAACAAACGCACTTGTCCCTGTTTTTAATTCTCCAACTTAGCCTATGAGGACTTTCAAGTGTTTGTGCGCTTGACAGTGACTCGGGTGATGTTAATGCCTGCTTGTCAAAGGCAAAGCTATCGTTTACTCTTAACATTCGTTTGGCAATGACCAGCACGCCGATCACATAGATCATGCACACTGTAATCTTGACGAGTGTCCTGCGTCGTAAGACTATCATTGCGAGTCAATGGACATGATCAACAGAACAGACTTTTTCTTCGTAAAATAACTTGTTGTGCAGTGCAAATTATTAAATTAAATCCATCTGAAATAGAGAAACGTATCGTCTAAGTGAGGTTACAATGCATATGTGGCAAGTGAGATAACATAAAGTCCTTAACGATTTCCGCTTACCAGTTCAAAATTGTCCCGAAAACAGTGCTGCATAAAGAAACTGCTGGAAAGAAACACTTTAAACGCAATCGCAGCTAAAATTAGCGGCAAAGGCACTGAAATCAAACCTGTCAAGCCGCAAATGTCAAAGCAAAGATCTCCAGCTGCCAGTTGCGGTGGCAACTCTCGTGAATTGTCGCCTTCGTGAGATTCTCGGTTTAGTTTACGTTTCTTAAGCACTCTACAGATGGCACTGATACTGGAAAGTAGTTACAAATATTCTATAGGTTTGGTTATCTAGAGTTAATATAAAAACTCCAAGCAATGTCGCGAGAGGGCAGTAGCTAATTCAACGCTCGCATCTTTCTGCACTTTCCACGAATGATTTACTAACAGAGATGAGTTGGGAGATCGCTCACGGGCAGGGTCGTGCAATCGCTTCCTGTGTTGCCCTCTGGTTTCGTACGTCAGCATTCACAGTTTTTGCCCCCAAGGGCGGCGCAACGAATTTCTGGTAGGGGCTCGCGTACTTGCAACGGCGGTGCCATCTACCAGTAGCCGTTGACGGCTCACGTACTCGTGATGGTAATACCTTGCAGCTGTTGACGGTGGTGGCTTGCCAACGCTTAACGACACTGCTCGCTTTTGATGGTAAGGGAAGAACATTCGTGGCACCCATTTTGACTTTACCCTTCACTTGCCTTAATTATTTTACGAGAAAGTGAAATTTTACCTTAATTAAATTCTACTTCACAGCTAGTTCGCGGATCGGTGTCATCCCATAAGGATGGTACCGATCCCCCAGGTCCCGCCACGAGGAGGCCGCTGCGATTAGGACCCGCCTAAGCATAGGCACCTGGTTCCGTTGAGTTCCCGGCGTCCCAGGAACTCACAGAACCAGGATTTCATAACCCATACAGCACACCACTCGCATACCATAAGCATCCATCCATACAACAAACCACTCGCATACCATACTCATCCGTCCATACAACGCTCGCCGCAGAGTACAGGGTAAGTCGCCGAGTACATTTCCAGTTGGCATCGAATTACGGATATAATTTGCCGGAAGGGCATACTACTCCTAACGCGAACAATCCAGCAGCTTCCACCGTCACCGACGACTAACCCAGCTCGGCTGTCGGCCCGCGAATATGAGTTTCAGTCGACGGGCTTGTCCCGGCTTACAGCAGGCAGAGCTCCCGCGGGATGCCGCCAAAGCGAAACAACGCATCGCGCAACCGACAACCTGAGCCAGGTAGCCTTGCACGCCGTAGCTTAGCTACGACGTACTAGGTGCCGACGGAAGCTGCCGGATACACTAAAGGTACGGCAATGCCGTACCTGCAAAAATCTACTTCGGTTAGCACGCAAATCCGAAATTACTACCTGCATGGAAAGATACCCGACAACGTCCTGTCCGCAATGTACAATCTCGCACGCACGCAACGAGTGCTTCCACTTTTAATTACGTTAAACTACTATCAGACAAAAAAACACACGCTAAGTGGAACCACTCGTGCAGCTATTTGCGAACCGGTGGTTTCGAACAATAGTTGGAAACCACCGATCCCCCAAGCTCACCACGTGAAGGTTGCTGCGCACCGAAGCCCTTTACAAACGTAATAAATTAACTTAAATATATTAAGAAAGGGAACGGAAGGGAGTGGGGACGTCTCCCATAAGGCCCGGTTTCACAACCCAAGTTAACCGAAGTTTGATTTTTAACCGTTAGGTTAAACCGTAGGTTAAAACTGGGGTTAACCGTTAGGTTTAACAGTAGGTTAAAACTGGGGTTAAATCAGTTACGGTAGAAGCAGGTAACCCGATGTTTACCCTTCGAAAGACCAAAGGGTGATGCTCCGAGCGCGCGCTCGGCCTTATATAGGGTCCCCGACCCCGGCGTGCGCATGCGCAGTTCCTTATCACATCTTTGTATATTCCAATTTTTCAATTTCTTTATAAAAACGGAAATTCATAGCTATGGAACCCTTTGTTAGGGTCTTTATACTCACGTTATAAAATTTCAAACGATCAGGTACACCTAGTCTTGTGAAAAATTTCCTTATTGCCCCTACCAGAAATTCATTGCGCCGCTCTTGAGGGCAAAAATCGATGAAAGCTGACGTACGAAACGAGAGGGCAGCACAGAATACGATCGCGCGACCCTGTCCGTGAGCAATCTCCCAAGTCATCTCTATTACTAACTCATTTCTGACATCACTTCTGTATTTTCTAAAAAAGATTGCGTATTTTATCGCATAAATAATTAAGGTAATTCGTCGCTATTTGTTCTGATTGATTAAATAATTTGCAAAGAGCGTCATAATTTTTTTCATCAAGCGAAGAATATAGATTTCAGACGTAATGTGTAGTATATATGGTGATGCCATCACAAAACATGAACTTTCATGTAGTTACATAGGTATTTTGTGATAATGTGACCTTTTGACGTTTCAAAGATGCTATCCATGGAACGTATCCCAGACCAAGTTGGCTACCTAGTTTTAACAGAAGATGGTGCAGTGTTAGCGGTAATACATGACAAAGTATTCCTTTAAACAATGGGCTAATTCATTTTCCATTTCAGTCTGGAGGAGAGCTGGAAAATGATGAGCGAATTGCTGATATAATAGCTGGTCTAGTAACATCGATTGATAAAATTGACCCTGAGGCTTTTCCATCAGACGAAGGCTTTGATAAAATCTCTATCACCTATCCTGATCACTGCTACGTCATTTGTCTCTCGAATAAAAGGATTCACGTTGTCAAAAAGAAGATGATAGCACAGTCGGTACACCCAAATGAAGAACAGCCTCTCGTAGAAATATAATTTAATCATTTGACTCACCAAAGTTTAATTTGATGATCATTGGCTTATATCTATCATTTCCATGAATGTTACATGGTAGTAACAAAGTGTTACTTGAGAAACAATATTTTATGAGAATCAATTTCATAACTGTGACATGGTTAACTTTGAGAATAGAAAACGTTACACAAAGTTGACATAACTTAAAGAGGTACTTCAAAATGGAGGAAAGCTATGAAACTTGATAAAACGTTAATAAATAATGTATACTTATTATTTTTTACNTATTATTATTAAACCTGAAGGAAACTAGGTATCACTGTCAGAACTCGAGCAATCGTAACCAACAAGTGAACTATTGGTGCTAGAAGATCCTGTAGAAGATGTAGCTTGTGTTGGAGGAACCGATGGCAATTTCGTTTTATTGGTTGAAGTTAATTGTGTACTTTTTGTTGCCTTTTTAGACCTTGCAATGGACACTAATCGCTTTAGTCGCAAACCTGATTTCTTTGTTTCTGCAAGAGAAATTATTTTTATCAATCTCTTGAAAGAATCTAAGTTATTGTAATAGTTACTGCGTATCATACCTTTTTGCTTGTTGTACATAAGTAAACGTGCTAATTTAATATCATCTTCATGTTCATTAACAAGATCAACATCAATACCCATTTTCGTCAGTAACTTGTGGTCAGTCGTTTGCTTACTTTGAAGTTCTTTTTTCCGTGCCTAGAATAATTCATGAAGTAAAAAATCTTTTGGAGAAAAAACCTGGAAGGTAAATAATAGTTTTTTTGAATTACTCGAAATGCAGCACGTAGAGCACAATTAGAGCTGTAGTCATCCTTCCAAGTTGCCTCATTAAGGGCAATAGCATTATCTAGAGCAGAATCACGCGATCGTGCAGTCTTTGTATCTTCAATTTCATGTTCGAGCTTATACATAGCATCGTCATACAGTCTTTTTGATACTTCCTTTGTTTCTGGAACTACCTGTTCATTATCCTTGGGATCCCAACGATTTTCTTGTCGACGAGCACCACTTACAATGATGTAATCCAAATTCTGTTAAAGAATTAAGTTAATTTAAATATACATCAGTTAAGCCTAATTATAACATAATAAATCTTAGAAGACAAGCACATGGGAATCATACCGCAGGATCTGTTTTGATCTCGAAATGATTATCGCAAAGATGACACTTCATCCGAAACTGATATAATGGTGTGCTGTAGTACATTCCAATTTTTTTCTTTTCTGCATTATATCGTACTCCCATTCCAATATGATTACCGCAGCCATCGCACCATATATTATATGGCATTTCAAATCGTATGATGAGGATACCCATGTGTAGTTTGCGAGCTCTTTCACGCAGTGCATGGGTCCCCATAAACTTGTTGAGCCCACCGACTCGAGGGTCATAGTCCGGTGGGTAATATAAATTCGTTCCTTTACGTTCACCCATTTTTTAACTGGTGTGGGAAACTGTAAGATGCAATTAACAATTTAAAGCCTGAATCCTAAAAAGTCAATAAGAAAATAATTAACAAATAAGAATACAACAAACTAAATCCAGTGACAGGAATAAATAAATATTAGATTACGAAAACCACTGATTTAAAATTATAATGTTAACTATACAACGATTCTAGTTAAAATAATTTCCACCTTGGTAAATTCTACTCCTTGCTTCACTTTTCCTTTAAGGTTAAACGTCAACTCTTGCACAGGCGATGAAGTTTAACGATCCTAGAATGCTAAGTACACTGCCATTCATCGGTGGTTACCTCGCGGACCTACTGCCCTCCCCGGCCGTGTGGCGTACTAGCGGCGGGAGTAGCGTGTAATGTGAATTGTCCAAACGGCAGAATGGATTTGCTAAAGAAAATAAATGTTTGTAAAGAAAACAATGAATGAAAATGATTTAAATATTATTGCGAAGTGTCCCTAAGCCACTCAACGTAGTTTTTGTTAAATGATTATTTACAGAAGTTCTTAAAGAATATATTAAAACACGTTTTATTAAAAGTTAACAAGTTTTTCAGCGATTTAATTGTTTCATCCACTGAACGAAGTTAAAATATTATCTTAACTAAAAAAATAGTTTATTAATATTTATACAGTGAAATGCCGTAGGAAAATTTACAATGCATTCACTTTCGGACATAGAAGCGGAATCATGATTTCATGTCTCTTATATATTACGTTCCACACCTTTCTTCGTGTTCCTGGAAAAATTTAATAAAACATGTTTTAATATATTTTATAAGAAATTCTGTAAATAATAATTTAACAAAAACTGCGTTAAGTAACTTAGGGACAATTCACAATAATATTGAAATCATTTTCATTAATTGTTTTCTTTATAAACATTTATTTTCTTTAGCAAACCCATTCTGCCCCTTGGGCGATTCAAATTCTACGCTATTCCTGCCACTAGTACGTCGCGCGGCCGGAGAGGGCAGTAGGTTCGCGAGGTTGCCATCGATGAATGCCAGTGTTACATACGTGTATGTATGTATGTACACTTATCAAATAAATTAATCCTAATTTTTATGATATTGTTTATATATTTTCTTGTATTTAATCGAAAGTCCACAGTTAATTAAAAAATAAGTTTCTAATACATTGTGCATTGGTTAATAGGTCGATTTAATGCTCTTACCATGTATTTCTGAAAAAATACAAATTCGGATTGGTTTTCGTGGATTTTTCAAAATATATTTTCATTCTTATGGGAAAACGAGTTTCTTATTGATTAATTTAGTTATCACAGTGACCGACGTTTTGAATAATTCGTAATAAGAATACTGATACAAGTCTAATCTGTAAAAAATTCTACAGGACATTCTACTTATGTTACTTCTCTTTTTTTTTCTTTATACATATTCCAATTAATACTCGCAGCAGTAAATTCGTAACGTTAACGCATGACTTTAGTAGTATTGATTATTTCAAGTTTTTCAAGTTTCCTTAGTTTTCTAGTTATAATTAAAAAACATTTTTCTCGGACTGAACATCCAAAACTGTTGATTTTTCTGATTCTCTTATATGATATGATCAAGGTTAGACCTTGTCTATTAATTTTCTTTTTAGATTTCAATCGCATCTAATTGCTTTGCCATTCTACTTCCACCAAATAGTACATTTTGCAAGATTACCATCTTGAATTTTTGACAATTTGTGTATATTATAAAATTATTTCCACTAAATGCAATATAACCCTGCAAAAAATTCCCAAACTCAACAGTGACGATTTCAAATAATTAGAAATAATTACATCAAAAAGTATGTGGTACCCACAAATATCAACGTCATAATATACCAAACTGAACAGAACATGACTCCGAAAGTCTTGTCCCAATTAGTAGAAACAACTTTTTCGATTATATCACCGTAAAAGATTTCGAAATCCATTTCCTCTTAATATTGTCTAATTAAAATCTCGATCTGCGTATGGCTTCAATAAATCCTACAATGTTCTGTACCCTTGTGCATATAAGCTTACGTATAAAATGCTCTCTGGTCATTCTCATGAAATCCTAATGTAAACCATATAAAACTTCATACAGCACAAATGTTCATGTTGTGAAGTAACGATGTTAGAATTAATTAAAATTCCGTTTCTGAAGTGATTCCTCGATTTGAGAAACTTAAGAATGTCTACCCCATCTTTTAAAACTGTCTACCGTTATAAAGTTGTGGAAGTAACAGCGCTGACACCATGCACCAACACTGTCGGAGGTAAGTCTGCAGTCAATTCTGTTAAAAGCTGAAGGTATTGGGGGTAGACCATTTCCTCTTCCCAAGAAGTTGACGATGGAGGAGCCGGAAGATATATAAAAGATGCTGCTGTTTGAGTTGAATGGTGCCTTATTAACTGGTTCACGCTGGAATAAAATAACAAATTTGAAACCCCCCAAATTGTATCTCGTGGCTTCGTTAAAAAATAATTACCTTAATATATAAGACCGAGAAACGTTGCTCAAAATGTCATCGGTCGAATCATGGCCGCCATCAAAGCTTTCTGCTTTAGGCTCAATGAGAGGTCTGCCATTAAGGCCTCCAACTTGTGCTCCCCAATCTGGAATTTTCTGAATCGATGCAGAAATCCGAAGCATGTTCAGCAGTTTCTTTATCCGATGCTCATTCGAAGCCTTCGGAAACTCGTTTATTGAACTCGATTCCGATATAGACAGGCTGGTTTCACTCTCCGCGATCTCACAGTTGAACACTCTTAAGTGCAGGTTTTTCCATGTTGGTACCATGTTAATGATGCATGCTAATTGCAGCATGAACAATGAAGTGGTATCAAAGGGGTCTTGATCGGAGGGTTGGAAGAAGTTCACTGGCCACACGTCGATGTATTTTAAATTCGAATTCCTGAAAGAATATGAGACATGTTACGATATCCTACATAATGTATAGACAAAATGTACGTGAGACAGAAATAAAGAAAAATCTTTAGTTTCAATTCGAAGTTTGTCAAGACGTGCACTCACTTATTAATACGACTCTTATCCAGCAGGTGGAAGTTCCTGCACAAGCAAAGGTTCTTCTTCATCTTTAACACATCCATGCACATCCCCACATACTGAATCCGATCAATGCTCTTCTCCTCTCCAGATCGCCTCAATGGGAATAGGGTACCATTTGCTTCTCCATTAACATTATCAAACGCAGTCGTAGTATACTGGGAGTTCTGGAAGAAGTCCTGTGGAGTCTCTTCATCGTAGAATCCCAGGACGATAGTATTTGGCTTCATTGCTCCCATTCCGGAACACCTAATCAGGTGGTGGAGGCCCTCTCGAACAGTCTTGGTGACGGTGAGCTCTACGAAGGCCTTTACCTTCATATGATCAACCAGTCCTAACCAGTGAGGATATTCTTCCAGGGTAGGATCAACATTTTGGCCGGTAAAGTCGCCGACCTTGACGTGGCCGATCACATAAAGTCCACCTTTCTTCAGATCATTGACAAAGTCGATCAGCGGACAGGATGATCTCGGAGAAGCCACCATTAACAGCATCTGAGGTCTCCAGAACTTTACGTGGTCCTTTCGAGAATCCAGCATCAGCAGGTACTTCCTCACCTGGTGGAAGATGAGAGCTTGCGATATGCTGCCCCAAGGAGCATTTTTACTCGGAGAGAAAAGGTGTAACACGATCACCAAGATCAGGCAGAGAATTATGCTACTCGAGGCGTAGATGCTATTTATCGTGAACATCATTATTAAGGTTCCTAGCAAACCAACCGTAGCAGTGTGCCAAGTGAAATAGTTGAACGTCGGCCTGAAAATAAGTTTACAGAAAATATTACAACATGTATCAAACTAATTAGTTGAGAAATTAATGCGATATATTTTTTACCTGAAATTTGGAGCGCTGGCTAGTTCGAGTCCAAGACATGCAAGATTGGTGGCGAGATAGCTCAACAAGAAGAGGACCGAGTTTATTTGAGCTATGGTATTTAGAGATCCCATAAGTAAAATAACTTGGACGAGAGTCCAAGATGTAAGGACCGCAGCTATTGGATTACCTCGCCAGGTTCCTTGTATTACAAAATTTAATGCGGAACCTAAAAGTTGATTAGAATTTTAACATTATTACATAAGTATCTCTATTTTTTCTGGTTCTCATGTTCTCATACCAAACACATTGTCCTTTGCAAGTGCTTCGAGTACTCTGCTGGAGCCGATTAAATTGCTCAGTCCTGCACTAAATGTCGCGGTAAGAATTCCAATTGCCACAAAAGGTGGCCAAACGTTTACAGGCATCATGTAGATAAAATTATTTTGTAACAAAAATCTGCTGGTCGTTGAAGCCGTTAAAACCGATAAGAAAATGTAGCAAACAAAGGTGAAAAGGACTGCAGACAATGTGCCGCGAGGAATATTGTGTCCGGGATTCTTTAGTTCGCCTGAAACAGGATTAAAGAAATTTCAAATAATTCTATCATATTTTTTAACGTTAAGAGTAATTATGAATTTTTAATCAAAATGTTACCACTCATGTTAGCTCCAGCCATTATTCCAGTAACACCACTGAAGAGGACACCAAAAACACTAGCAAAGTCAGTTCTAGTGCCATCACTTGAATAATCCATGCTATAATTTGTATAAAGATTCTCCTTAAGAGTAGCCGATAACAATCCAGTGTAGGATCCATTTACATGTACTGTAGCATTCTGTACCAACATGTTTGCTTCTGGTATAGGTACCTGTGAAATAGTTAAATTAGATCAGTAAAGCACTACAGTTATTTATTTTTTTCATGGATGAAGAGAATATTTACGCACTTCTACCGCTCCTTGTACTAAGAAACTTATGAAGACACTTCCAAGACAAACGCAGACAATTGCTAAAATGGCTATGCTGGTCTTAGCAAACATAGCAGCTCCGATGAGACACACGAGCAGATTCGCAGTATTTAAGACAGAGCAGTAGAGAAATCTCCACCACTTGCCATCAGGTAATAGTCCATCTTTGCCAGCCAAGTAACCAGATGGTCCAAAATTCTCCACTAATCCTTCGGCACAACCAGAGATACAAAGAGCACTGGACACAACATTTGCCATGAAAAAAAGTGTGCCAATGGAGCCCCCAAATTCAGGTCCTAAAGTTCTGCTTATCATAACTATAGTTTGCATGTTAAGAAATTCATGTATTATTATAAATCATTCATTTTTCAAATACATGTAATATTTCCTTCTTAACTATCTAGAAAAAGAAAGGATACAATATGCGCCTCCTCCCTCAACTGCCCCATTTGTTGAAATTGCACAAACAGAGGCAACTGTAAATAATAAAATTCCATAAGCGATTACAAACTGAGTCAACGTCATTAGTAATCCTGCATTTCCAACAATATATCCTGAAAAATAACATTAAGAATATTAACATTTTAGTACGTATACCCCACCAGTATATAAATTCAAAGTCTCTTTAGCACAAATCATAGACAAAAAGATATAATTTCAAATCATCACCCATTCGTATGAAAACTAAGGCACTGAACATGGACAGGGTGACAGGGCTGAATACTCCAGCAAAGGTTCCCAATGTACGCCCACTGTCTGTCCCCAAACTGCTAAACTCGATGTAGCCATCTCCCTCAACGTGTGGTGATTTACCCAACCCAAAGATTCCTCCAAAAAGGCGATGAAAGATTCCTCGACCGCTGATCAAAGGAGCCTTCTCACTCGTTACCCTGATATGTATAGGATCTGCATTTGTAGAGCCAATTTCGGAGGCTATCATTTTAAAAAAAAAAAAAAGCAGTCCAGATAATATCACACTGAAAAGGGGAAAAATATTTTATATAAGTATTTGTGAACGAAAGTACAGGATTTGGTAATTGTTCTTGGTCTTATATTTCAGTGCTGACACTGAAGTGACAACACTAAAGATCATGGTGTATAGGTTATAATATATTAGTGACAAATACATCGTAATTGTGTACGTTTAAAAATATTACAAGGCGAGGGTACAAGAACGTCCACGTATACTTCTGTTATTAACTTACCTGAAAACTGTAAGTTTTGCATAATAGAACCAAAAATGACAACACTGTCTAATGGAATTAGTCACAGAATAGTGATGTCATAAATCGGAACATCAAACTACCGTGCTTCACTCCCACATTCCTTTCAGGGTTTTAATAAACCTATCCGAACTGACAGTTGTGGCAGTAAATGCTGGTAAATGCAGTGATGTCAGAAAAAGCACGGCAAAATAAATATGTGGTATGTTCTTTTGAGTACCAATTTCTAATATTTCTGCGCAGTACAAGTTTCCACCATCTTGTTAGATTAAATTAGGTTAGGTTATATCAGATTTGTCACTTTCTCTCTCTCTCTCTCTCTCTCTCTATATATATATATCTGTATTACAGATTGTATATGTAATATCACGCAGAGATCTGTATCACGTAATTCTCAGTTTGATTTTCAGTATGGTAGGTTTCGTATGCATGTATATACTGAGTTTCGAATGGTTTTCAGAATTATAAATTAAAAATTTAAATATAGATAATGTATGGCATTAGCATAATGTGAAAGTATGCGATTGACAAGAATTTTTTAAACATTAAACACTATACGATACTATTCTTTCAATGAGTCGATGAATTTATAATTCTACAGGGGACTTCGATGAATTGGAAATTGTAATGTGTCAACTATTAATACCTTCTGTAACATTAAAAGACTACAGAAATGTTTGCCACTAAAAATATGAAAAGTATATCACATGTAAGATATTTCTTTAAAAAATTATTTCAACAAAAGTCAAAGGTATGATAATGTTATTAATGCAACTTATTGAATAAAAAATGGTAAAGAATATAGTGAAGTTACTTTTAGGAAATGCTTTGAAAGGTTAATACTTTTGCTTCTTATACAGATAATAGCGACTCCGACTCATAAAACGATGAACAATAAGTTTGGCCAGTATGATTTAGTTGAACCTTGGACCGTATCTGTAAAAAAAGTTGTACCTTCTCATATCCCTAAGCCATTATACAGTGAGTCGACAATTCCATGCCAGTCACCCAAAAATCCTGAAATCAAAAATCAAAATCAAATTGAGTGCATGGGTCATAGTTGCAGCTTAGCAAAACGGGTTTTAAATCAAGTTCAAGGCTTCATCAAAGTAAGATAAAGTGTTTCCTTAACGTGCGTTATTCCATTCAACATGAAATTAACACATGTACAAATACTTATTATATATTTTCATGATTTATTGACAGCCAGGAATAACAACGGATCTTCTGGACGAATATATTCATGAGTTAATCATCAACAATGCTGCCTATCCAAGTCCATTAAATTATAAGGGTTTTCCAAAATCAGTTTGCACGAGTGTCAACAATGTAGCATGTCACGGCATTCCTGACAATCGACCACTCCAAGACGGTGATATTCTAAACGTCGACGTTACAGTAAGAATCAGTTTTACATGCGCTATGAAGTGTCAAATCCTAACACAACTAAAATAGTTGGTAGTATAAATTTGAAGATGTAGGTTTTATTTTATCGTGATTAAGGTATACCTTAATGGATACCATGGAGATTGTTCAGCAATGTTTGAGGTTGGCAACGTTGATGCCGAGGCAAAGCGACTAATTGAAGTCACTCAACTCTGTCTCAGACATGCCATTGAATTATGTAAACCTAATGAAAATTTCAATTCAATAGGTAAGTTACAACTTTCTGTTCTTAGTTGAGTTATTATATCATATTTTTAAATATATAAAATATGTCACTATTCCTTTCACTTCCTTTTTAGGCAACATAATCGAAGAAACAGCAAATAAGCATGGATTTAATGTAATTCCAGCATTTGTTGGTCATGGAATTGGCAACTACTTTCATGGACCACCAGATATTTATCACATTGGTGCGTATGAAATGGAGTATTGCTTTTCATGTGGATACCCAGCACTGGTAAGACAAGACATTTTTATGTACAGCAAATGACATGCCTGGAAAAATGCAACCTGGTATGACTTTCACAATTGAACCTGTCATTACCCAAGGATCGGAAGAGATTGAAATTTGTGAAGATGGATGGACTGCAGTTACTGTAGATAAGGCTCGGACTGCTCAGTGTGAACACACTATTTTAATTACAAATAACGGCTGTGAGATATTGACTCTTTAATCACCAGAAATTTCTTGTTGCTTCTGTGAATCCAAGTTAACATAGAGTGTACAAATTAAGCGTTAATTGGTAAATTATGATTTATTTATGAAAAGTAACATTAAAAGGACATATTCCATAATTGTCATTGTAAATTAACTTTTTATCATTACAGCAGCCTCCCAGTTGCTCTCCAATGTAATCGGCCCCTTTATTTCTATTCCTTCCTTATCTATTATCCCGATATGATACTGAAAGAAAGAGGAGTTATTAATATTAATATTAATATACAAAATATCGAAATAGCAGAGATGAAAATAAATCTTACCTTTGGAAAAGATCTGGCATCTCTGTAATAAAGGACTGTCATAACTTGCTTTATGAGATCAAGGGCTTCCTCTTTACTCATTTCTTTGTTCTTCTCATAAGCCGCACGGATTACTGGTGTTGCCATATATGCACCATACCCTGTTGCAATTATTGGATCGGTATATGCCGTGCCAAGTTTATCTACTGTTCCCAAAAATCTGCAAGTTTTCAATTACAAGTGAAGTTTATCACTACTCTACTGAATATTCTATTTTTATTAAACTAACTTATTCAAACTAATTTTTCATTGCACTTGTAGTAAATAATTGCATAGAATGTAAAATAATTCATACGGTTTGCCATTTTCTAAGCCTGCAATGATGAAATTGTTCCAAAATGGATCAAATTTTGAACGTCGGTTGTACATTATTCGAGTAAGCCAGCAGTGCAAAGACTTTGGCTTCAAGGTAAACCCGTCATCAAGGCACTCTTCCTCTAAACTATAAACAATTGAAATGGTAAATGTTTAAGCTTATAATTCCAAATTTTTATGCAACTTACATTTTTTGCTCGATGAGGTTCTTGATATATTGGTAGTCGGCGTAATCACCACCTGCTCCTAACAAGATGTTGTTGTTAACTTTCATGATTCGCTCACAATTTCTGTACCTTGCCAGACTGCCATAAGAAGCCAAAATATCAGCAGCAATTAGTACTCCATCCTTGTACTGAATACCAACTACCGAAGTACCCGTTGTAGTTGGGGCTCTGAAAGAAATTAATTCGTCACTCGATTTTGTTCCCAGCAAATTTTAAACACAAACTAAGCATGAAAGTATGACGACGGCATTAATGCCTCAAGTGACATGCATTTATCAGAGGTTATTGTTTGAAATATTTAATAGAGGTTATTGTTTCCAAGAAAACATGTACTCACTGTGACCGTTGGATTCCATCAGGCTTACCGTGCGAGACGGTGCCCGGAAAATTATATGAAACGCCCGGTGCTGGACCATTTTGCCAAAAAGGAGACGGACTTTGCCAGTCACCTCTCCCAAGCAGCGCCATATTTGTTTTAAGCAATTTAACTTTCGGATATCATCGTCATCAAGTGCAGTGGAATTGTGAACCCCATTTATAGAAGATTATGTGAAGACTAATATAAAAAGTTTACATATTTAGACACCAGATAGCGATATTTCGATAGACATGGTTATCACAGAGAGCAGCACCATAGCATAATCTCAACGTTTTCATCCTGAGGAACCTCTTAGGTTGTATGTACTTCATGATACAAACTCGTGACTTCTGCTGTGCGATCGCATAGGTTATACGACATGTCTTCGATGGCTCGTTTAAAGAAGTTTGTGCAGTACGTTAGTTCCAATTTATTAAAAGATAAATGTGTAAGTAAGCAGTATCTGAAGCTTTATAAATTACTAGTTATGCCACCTTAGTAGATTCCATTGTTTTCTCGAGACATCCATTTAAGTGTAGCTAACCTCAAATCAACCATTAAAATTTGTGATAATCAGAAGAAAGAAGTTAAGTATGAGATATAAATCAAGTCGAGAAGTGTAGAAGTATAACCTAACATTTCGTTGTAGAAATGATGTATTTTCTGTACAACAGTCAATATGTAATACTGGGTTTTTTTAGATCGTAAGATACTCGTCCAAATCATCCGAGTCTGAAATACCGAGAAACTTGTTAAGAGATGTATACAGCGCCAGTGACCAGCCAGAGAGTGGCGAGATATATGACAAAAAACCTTTCAAGTACCTTTGTGAAGCAGACAAAACGTATATGTGGTGCCTGTGCGGAAAAAGCAAAAGTCAACCGTTTTGTGATGGAACGCATAAAAATGTCTTTCTTAAAGTCAAACAAAGACCTGTACGATTCAAGGTACCAGAAACGAAGGAGTATTGGCTCTGTAATTGCAAACAGACATCTAATCGACCATTTTGCGATGGAACCCATAAAAGGCAAGATATTCAAGAGAAAATTAAGTTTTAATTTTGATCCTGAAGTAAAAGGTCATTAGCTGAAATAGTTTGTAGAAAAAGGTCTCTCAATACAGTATGTACACTTATCTTTTAAAAGAATGTCCTCGTGTATGCTTATCCTTTGTTCTGGGTAGAATCTTACATGTAATTACATTATTAACTTTTTCCTTTGTAATACTTTCTAGAATAGTTAATTAATAAAATGAAAGCCTTGTGAAAACATGTTAAAAGTGTTAAATATATTGAAAGTGTACAAATGGAAACATGCAAATATAAATTATATTTCATAGCTTCACTGGTTTGTTCGCACTTTTACCAAAATGGGAACAAAAGAATTCTCAAATTATTAAGTAAAGGTCTGTGTCCACGACGAAGGAACATTGTCAATATTCTTCCCAAAATCTTTTATTTCCTCATGGATGTATTAAGATGGTGCTGCTACTCGTAATAAAGTCATTTTACAATTCTACCAAGGTTTATGCTTGTGAAATGTGTTCAATTACTACGTACACTTTATACAATTATATAGATACATAATTTTATTTTATATGTATATTTATTTATCTAATTCTGTTGTCATTTACAATAGTTTACTTCATATCTGTTCTATTTTCCATTGACAATTGTGCATGTAAATGCTCTGAAGTCTGCAACTTTAATGTATCTTTTATAAAAAAAAAGATACCAGTTAGATTTTTCTGTAAAAGTTTAGCATCAAAGCTTTTCATCGGAAGCACTAGTGTTGACCAAATTGCAAGTAAGATATTTATTTGACAAAAACATTGGCAAAGTTTTTTAATCATGGACTCAGGCCTTCAGTCCTGGTTAGTCTCAGGCTGAAATAGTAAGGTATGTTGTTCATTTGAACAAAATTACCGACAATATTGGCACCGGCTGGCTCGTCAATGAGCTTGTCTCGAGGGCCGCGAGGAGGGACCTGGCGCGGTGTCACGGACGCGATTCCTCACGAGAATGGTGTCGATCATCGGGCGAAGTGCACGGCTCTCGAGTTCGCTTTTAAGATATACCTCGGCGGTCCTGCCAGCGAGTGGAAGCTCACCGGCTTCGTTATGCCAGCACGAGATCACAAGAAGAGACGATGTCGCACTCTCTGCCGCGCCGACGACGGCCCTTACATTGGGAGTGAGGTTAGGTACTCTATCGACGCTCGCGACGAGAACTGCATACCGCGGTTATGCGGCTTCAGCACCGAGCCCGCCTTCGTCGGGGAAGCTCTCCGTATTCCAGAGGATGAAACAGCTATACAAAGACTACTGGCACGTCCTGATACCGGTGCATCTTATTACGTCAGCAGGATGGGTCGGCATATTTTACATCGCTGCGAAGAAGTATGTATATCTCCGGGTTGAGCAATTGAAGACTCTAAACTAGGTAGAATTGATAACTGGATTGCTCGATCTTGCAGCGGAGTCGACATAGTTGCCATTATGAAATACCTGCACATCAGTGAGAAGTACATAGAGCTGGTGCATAATTCTGGTGCTGGTCACTGGGCGGTAGTCTATGCCCTGTACAAATTAGTTACGCCGCTAAGATACATCGTCACAGTTGGTAAGATCGAACGGCAATGAGGCAACAGATGGTTGAGCAAGAGGGCAATTTGATTTCATGTATCGTTTTATTTGTAGGTGGCACGACTGTAGCCATTGGATACCTGCGAAGGTGGGGATATATGCATAAGAAGCAGATTCCACCCATGAAGAAGGTAGGTTTAAGTTGGATTAATAATTTGTGAGAAAGAGCATACGTAGTATTCCCGATGACTTGTACCTTGGATTTTCCATCAAGCCCATTTTCCGTTTAGTCATCTGCTGGTGAGACTTCTACCTCTGTAAGGGAAGCGGATTGACCTCCAAATCTGTACCTATGGTGGATTTCCTCCCGAGCGTGTTAACGACGGCATTACACGCAGATCCATTAATTTGTATTAACATTATGTAATCTACATCATTACTCGGACTTAAGGAATAGCATGGTTATTTTTCATTTTTGGATGCACATTTCCTTGGTAGAAGAAAAGACAGGATTGAACTGAGACTTTCCTCATTAAATTAATTGCAAGTACCGCTTTGTTTAAATAGTATCATTGTTGCATCAGTAGAACAATGGTAACGCGAGTGGGAACGTGTCATTTAATGTTACGGAGGAAATGTCATTCTTAGGATAATTAGAATGCTTATTTCTACCATTGTTCTATTCATTCATTGTCCTATGAAAACGTTTGCATCGAGACCACTGTAAACGTGTTGGAAAAGAATGCATATTTTTCCAAGTGTCCTACATTTACTTTATACTTAACGAGTTTCCAGTAGGCACTCTCCAAAATGGAACCATGTCTCAGTTTCTTCGAACCGTTCTCTTTCCGCAATGACTAACAAATCCCGACGTGAAGCGATCTCTTCGATGCCGCATCCCCGTTTAGTTTTATTTTCTGCATTTATGCATACGTTCTAGGACGAGCAGTTAAGCAAAAGCACAGCGAAGGAGAAGACAAATCTCACCGAGAAAGAACCCAAGCCCGAACCACCAAAGACGTAACGTAAGTGGTTCACACCGAGGCCTCGTATCCTCGAGATCGAACGATCTTTGGGAATTGTTAATATATACATTATGTCTAATCTGTAAATGTATGTCCTTATAACAACGTGTACCATAAAGATTTGACCTATACGGACGTCCGAGGATTAATTCCATCCGATTCACTCCTTAGCCTCGACTCAACGAACATAAGACCTTCGTAAGGGTAAGATCCTACTTTATTTCTTACGGGAATCATTGGCAGATATCGATCCAGTACAACGGCGTTACAATTTCGGGATAATTCGTCCACATTACAGCCATATATTGGAAAGAGTGTCGACATTTAGGACGACGAGTCAGCGAACGAAGGAACAGGCATTTCTCGACGACGGTATCCAACAGGGGAGCCTCAAAGTCATCGTCTCAAAAGTTCACCTTATAAAAACGACTCTACCGATAGCATAGTTCTAATTATAATAATATAATAACAACAAACAACGTCGGTACGCATCACGTGTGTGTGTATGTAGGTATATATCTATATGTATATATGTACAAAAGATCAACGAAAGTGTCATTACGTTGTCGTATCACAATTGGCCCGCGCTAGTATCGGGGCCCCGATCGCGTCCGCTGGCAGTGTTCCTTTATATATATATAATTTGTGTATATAAATAAGCCCATAAATAAGTCACTGGTACCACCGACGCTCACGAATGCATGCCCGAGATATAGCTCGTTTCTATCTGCATCCCAACTTCTCGATACGCAATGTTCACGGTGATAACGCTGTCCATGGTCGATGTGTGGTGCAGGTATCGGAGCAGCTCGTGGCTTAGAGTTGGGCATTGGCGGGCATTGACAGTCATTGGAGATGGATAATAGTGCTCAACCCATGTACTGATAACTCGCCGAGACCGGCTGCGGTGCCCTGGGCTGGGTATGCGATATGCGCTGTATGTGGCAGGCCCGGCACATCAGTCTGCCTTCCAGGGGGTAGCATCGCTTATCAGGCTCGTCGGTCAGCTGCATGCCGCAGTCCTCGCAGACGTAACAGTCCACGTGGAAGTCTTTATCCATGGAGACCACTCTGACGGTTTCCTCCGTGCCCTGATTATGAGGAATATAACGTTAAACATGACTTGCCTATTTCTTTTACAACGTTATATCACAGATTCCGATATTAAGTCGCTACAAGGTACGGCTTTATAATGTGGATTTCTGAATTTTAGGTACAAGAGAGCCTGGTCTAGAGAGACACGTATTCGAGAAATACGAAGCATTCACCTCGACCGGAGTGATTCCCTTGCCGCAGGATGCGCACTTGGGGGCGAACATCCTGTGGTAGTCGTTCACGCAGTAGATCTTGTTGTCGACGTCCACGGTGAAGGGGACCCCGTCGAGGCACTCGTTGCATACGCAGCACCGGAAGCACCCGGGATGGTAGGACTTTCCCATGGCCTGGAGGATCTGCGAAGCAAGAGCTGCACACTGATCGAGCCGCGACTCGAGGGGAAAAAAGCGTCCATAAATTACGTCGGGCGATTCTCGACCCTCCCGTATGGGGATTCCCGAGGTTTGGTGTTACATGGTCATCGCGCAACGTCCCGTAAGGGCGATACGTGAAATTCAAAGTAGACGCATATTTTTCTCCTGGTCTTTCAGGCGGTAGAAAAGACAACGCGCTTCTACTCACCATTTCCATGATCAGGTGGCCACAGATCGCGCACTTCTCAGCGGTCTGCTGGAATCCCGAGTACTGAAAGTTGAAAGTGAAATGATTTATTACCCACTTATTCGGTTCCATCGTTAGGGTAAGGGGCAGCTGAAGGGTCAGTCGTTTATGAAACTTTTCGCCGAATTGGACCTGCCGAATTGTTTGACATTTTACCACATGAAGGCGGAGACCCTAAGAAAGGTCTCGATATCCATGAAATCCCATTTCTTCATAACTAAAAATGGTTTATGAAAAAGATGTAAAAAATGAAGTTTCAGGAGTACGAGGACCTTCCTTAAGGCCTCCACATTCACGAGGTAAAATTTCAAACGATTCGGTATACCTAGGTCGGAGAAGAGCTTCACAAACGAGTCCCCTCGGAAGTCCCTACCCACATATGGGCGAAATTCATAAATGCGTGCTGGCAATATTGGACCAAACGTCGGGCATCTATAGGCGCCTTTAGTAGCCAAAGGGTTAAGGAAACTAGAGTGAATCCGTTATCTTTACCAGGTAGTCCTCCTCGCAGTACACGCGCCCATGGACGTTGTAGAAGGCCTTGCCGCGCAGCGCTCGTCCGCAGGAGCAGCAGATGAAGCAGTTGGTGTGATAGAGGTTGCCCATCGCCTGGCAAGCTTGGCCAGCTCCCGTCACCTTCTCGCCGCAGGTGTGACAAATGCCTGCCAGAAGAGAAACACCGTGTCAGGCACCGGAAGAGGCGGCGATCGCGCTCCGGGGATTTCGACCTCGGAACTCGGGTAAGGTGGCCCGGTCGCGGATGCTTAATCTACGCGAATCGAATGTAATCGGCCTCGAGTTTCTCGAGACCTTCCCCGAAATAGCTTGGTCGTTCACGTCTCGAGTTTCGCTTCCTCGCCCGCAGGACGGCGTAACGGGGCGGCGCAGATTCAAGGTTGGACCGCGGATGGACCAGAGCTTCGGGGGAACGCGCTCGAACCGTTCGCACCAGCCGATGGACTCACAGCTGGCCACTGGCAGAACGGGTCCGGCCATTCCTATCTTTCTGGTTCCTTTTCCCGAAGCCGTGGCCGCGGAACCCGTTTGGCCCCGGTGCGGAACCCGCGCGTAAATAGCGAACGAGCGGCGAGACGCGGCGCTACTCGCCGATGGACTACGGCTCGCCAATCGGTCCGACTGGTCCTGTGGCCCGATCTATCTATAACGAGGTTGGACGGATCGGTCGCTGGCTCGACTCGCCTGTGCACCGACTACCCACAACCCTCGCCCCCGCGTTTAGGCGAATGTCAACGAAATGCCGAACGGCGCGCTGGAGCGCCTTGCTACAGGATCGCGGGCACGTTGTATGTCGCGCTGGAAGGTGCTGCAAGGTGTTAAAAGGTCCTGCAAGGTGCTGCAAGGTGCTGCAAGGTGATGCGACATAGACTTGGTTTACACCGATCACTTGGCACACATATTAAAGCCGTGGATTTATCGAACTGTCAGAATAAACAACCGTGTACCGCCTTGATACGATACGCTAGAAATGTGTGTACCGTACCGTTTTGGTACACTGTTTACATTGAGAGTTTGATCTAACTACACTTTTAGTACGCATACTAAACTCGGTGTAAAAGCGATTAAGTACCAAGACGGTACGATATGCTCTTTTTCAATATGTTGTATTAAGACGATAGAATATAGTTTAGACTGAGAGCTTGATATAACTACGCCTTTAGTGCGCGTATAAAGTGATCTATGTGAACTAAGCCATGGAGGCACTCTTACCAAAGTACTCGCCCTCCTCTTCTTGCTTCTCCATCTCCTCCTCGAGCTGCCGCGTCAGCTCCTCGATCTTCCTCTCGGCCTCCGTGGGACCCTGAAACGATGACATCGATTAGACCAGGAGGCTCGGCCTTGGGGAATTGTTATGGAGAACTGGCAAATGGCACCAGAAAACAGGCCTCTATTGCATGACAATCGCAATGACCCGAGGGTCATCGAGTTAATCGATAAGAAGTAGCTCTGTATGGCGGTTTGGCCATCACCTTTTGTTTTGCAAAATGACGTTGTGGTGAAGCATTGTTAGGAATGGAGGCAGGAATCGTTTTTAACCCCTTCGGTGCTAATATCGTATGTACACGCTGAAAATTTGATGCACTATGGCTTGTACCCTGTCGTGACTTTCGCCAAGGCCTTTCGAAAGGACTTGGCAATGAAAGGGTTAAGGTGACGTGAAAGCGCCACCCGAAGAGTCGATGGTTTATGAAAAACTCCTCCCAACAGGACGTACCAAATCATTTGAAATTTCTTCACGCGAATACGGAGGCCCTATGGAACATCTTGACACCCAGAAAATTCCATGATTTATCAAAATTTTAAAATTGTTTATAAAAAATATGAACAAAAATGAAATTTCATGAGTACCAGGACGTTCCTTAGGGTCTCCACATTCACGAGGTAACAGTTTTTAATGATTCAATACACTCAGTTAGGAGAAAAGTTCATCATCGATTGACCCCTCGTGCCACTTTCACGTCGCCTTAATCCGTGAAATTAGCTGCACCCGTAACGATAAATCTAAGCGATTTGTAATTTATGCGGGTAAATCGAGTTCATATAGCGTTCACGTGTCATCCACATTTCAATTAAATCTATACAGATCGGTTGGCACGTACTCATTACAACGATTTTTCGTTACGTACAATGGCGGGCATGAATGCCTCCCCTGCAGATACGGCATCGCCTGTGCAGGATGGGAGGGCATTCATGTCTCCCAGTGTACGTGGACACCTTAAAGAATGATAACCTTGGCCGTAATCTTTTTGCCGGGACGTTATATATATATTTTTTTTTTCCACCGAATAATCCGGGCTCGCGATCTCGTTTCCGGGGTGCGGAACCTGGAGTATTGCTTTGGCTTTGCGAAATCATCGCATTTATATAATTGATTGGCAAAACGGTCTCGTTCAATCGACAGAGTGATTCGTCGGATGTGCTCGCGTGTAACCGAATGGGCGCGGGCTTGAGACACGAGGCGAGACCGAACGGGAGAGAAAGAGAAGGAGAGAGGGAAAACGAGGAGACGAGAGACGAAAGGAGAAACAAGAGGTGTACGAACACGTCCGATTTTCTAGGTCAAGTCGCCAGCACGTACGAGCGTATCGAGTACAAGTATTTTCGACGCTTAAAATTTGAATGTTTCAAAGGCATTGGACGTGTGGCGAGGAAAATCCTAAACGGTCGATTCTCCCTTCCTTCTATTCCCGTTTGCGTTTTTCCTTCCCGCTACTTTCCACGTGTAAAAATGTTTAGTCATATCCACCGAGCTCGCACGTGGAGATTAAAGTCGCCAGCACGTACGAGCGTATCGAGTACAAGTATTTTCGATGCTTAAAATTTGAATGTTTCAATGGCATTGAACGTGTAGCAAGGAAAATCCTAAACGGTCGATTCTCCTTTACTTCTGTTCCCGTTTGCGTTTTTCCTTCCCGCTACTTTCCACGTGTAGAAAAGTTCAGTCATATCCACCTAGCTCGCACGTGGAGATTAAAGTCCACGGACTGAAATAAGTGTGCGCCGATGTTCCTCAAGAAGTGACTCACTCGTGGGCAGAGAGGAACCTTTAAAGGAAGTAGGATTATTTCCTTCGACGAAACGGCGTACCGTTACATCGCCGAGGCGGTTCTCGCTGTCGCCAGAAGAATTCTGACAAGGAAGGTATATCCCAGATCGATCTCTCCGATTTCATTTCTTTTATAATATGTTATAGTAGACTAAAAACTAAGCGACACGTATTTTTTTTATCTGCCATTAAACACTTTAAGGGGGTGAAACCACCTTCCAAAGTAAGGCACGTCAATGAGCGATTTGGCAGTTTCACCCACGAGAACATATTTTTTAACCAATCCACCTGGAAAAGCTTTCTCATAACGAGGAATGAAAAATATAACTTTCTCAATTAAAAAAAAAAGTTAAGGGGTGAGCGACTCCTCACAGGCCTTACTTTGGATGGTGGTTTCACCCCCTTAGTGTTTATAGGCAGATTAAAAAAAATACGTGTCGCTTAGTTTTTAGTCTGCTATAATATATTATAAAAAAAAATCAAATCGGAGAGATCGACCTGGGATACCTTCCTTGTCAGGACATCGTTCGATACGGCGATCACAAGTCAGAAATTTCTGCGCGAAGTCGGCCCATGTTCGGCACCCTCTGATACGAGGAATCCGCGTTCTACTATTCTTACTCAAGGCTCAATCAGTTTAATTGCCAATCCATGGACGCTCCATTTTAGCGTTATAGGCAGTCACGTGACTTTTCAGGCTGACGTTAGAAAAAGAAAATGCAGTTTTCCCAAATACGGCGATCGCGAGTCGTCGAAGTTTCGGTCGCGAAATCATAACGTTACAGGAATGCCGATTATTGTTGGGACCTTTATGGGCCTTCGCAAGTACCTCGCACGATAGTAACCATAACCGTAACAGGAAGATTAGAGCCAACCAAATTGCCGACATTCGATATCATGTTACATATTTGTTTACAATTTCATTGACCAGTTCTTATCACGGCTTCTACGCTTACGCGAGATATCTGGGAAGGCCTTTACCCCCAGCCGCGGATTCTTCAATTATTATTGACGTTTCTTAAGGTGAAGTGAAACATCCTTCAAATCAGTCGAATCGAATACAACACTTTTTTTTAAGTCAGGACAATTTGACGACAATTTAGAACACTCTGGTAATCGATAAACTCGCATTTGAACGGGATAAGGGCAAAAAAGTGTTGTATACGTTTCTATGCTAAAATGATGGTAATACGAGGTCTCGGAGTGAAAATTTAATTCACCTGGAATTCACAGATGGCGCAGGGGGTCCCTCTGCAGTTAATTAGGGCCCCAGAAAGCATGAATCCAGAGGATTTCTGGAGTTTTACTTCGATTTCTTTATAATTATTTTTCGAAAACGACAGGTGGAGTATGCCATTTGGTACAATACCCAATATAATTCGACACGGCTGTCAATATAAAAACGAACGTCGGCAACGTAGGCATTTAGAAAAATCTTCTTTATCAACGTCGATCAAGTTCCTCGACGTGTTTCACTTCCCCTTAAGAGAGATCAGGAGTCGTTCGTTGCTACTGAAATCTGACTTTCCGATACTTGCTTGCGTGATGTCGCATCTCGAGTCTGACTCGTCGGGAATACTCATACTCGTTACGGGGTGACTTCAGGCTACTCTTTGTCCGAAATAAGAAGGGGGGAAAAAAAGAAAAAAAAAAATAAGACGTTGCCTTCCACTTGGAGAGAATTACACTTTTTTCGACTCGGCTTCGACGGACCGTCGTTATATGCTGAGTGGCGATTATTCTCGCCCGCGCATTATAAGTTTTCGAATAATTTGCATAATAAGCGCCGTAGCCGAGTTAACGGAAGTACTCGCTTTGACGAGAATGAAAAAAAAAAAAGAGAGAAGAAGAAGAAATTGTTTCCTTGCGATCGACGGAGCCCCGTTCGCGGATGTTCACGTCATGATTATATTCGTTTAAGCATTAAAGACGATAGCGTAATTTACATAAGCAACGAGCCTAACATCGCGCCTTAAAAATGGCCTTCGGTCCTTCCTGGTCTCAACCTTAGTAGTCGATCTCTCAGGTGGCTAAACACGTAATGATAAGTCGTAGCGACATGTAATGTACAGAGATAAATCGAGTCCTACACCGTCTAAGCGTTAACGCGTTAGTTAAACCTGTACAGATCTGTTTGCATAGATTTACTGCAACGATTTATAAATCCGTGCAATTAAGTCCAGTTCTTTTTCGTCGCGTCCAAATGCCAGTTAAACTTGCACAGATGGGTTTGCACGGGTTTATCGCGGCGATGTACAATCTGTGCAGTTAAATCAAGTCCTACCGTACGTCCACGCGTTAGATAAATATATACAGCTCGATTTGCATATATTCATTGCAGTAATTTTTCTAATCTGTGCAGTTAAATCGAGAATTCGCCGATACCGCCCACGCGTCAGTTAAATTTATACAGCCCGAATTGTTCACATCTATCGCGCTCATTTTTAATCCGTACAATTAAATTCGAGTTCTCCTATATCGTCCAAGCGTCAGTTAAATCCGTACAGATCGGTTTGCAGAGATTTACCGTCGTAATTTCCAATCGGTGCAGTCTAATCCACTTCTATAACGTTAACCCGTGAGTTAAACCTGCAGAGATCGGTTAGCACCAATATATCGCAGGGACTTATCGTCACGTGCGTAGCCGTCTAAACTTCTAGTCAGCTGGAAAGTAACGCCACCCCGCAATTGAAACGTCCTGACCAAGGATTTTAAATTTCTTTCGACTCATTCGCCGCAAGATGAATTATCATCTAAGACTCGACATCTAGCGTGAATAATATAGATGAACCAGGAGTCATCGTCATGTGCGTAGCCTCCTAAACATCTGATCAGCTGGAAGGTAACGCCTTCCTGCCATTAAAACGTCCTGTTCAAGGATTATAAATTTCCATCGACTCGTTCACCGCAAGGTGGGTTATCGGCAATGTCTCGTCGTTTAGTGTAAATAAAATCGATGAACCAGGACGTTCCGGGCAGGGAGGGCCTAGAGCGTGTTCTTACAGGAGGTCTAGCAGGCGTAACGTTGTACGGTAGTAGGCCCTTCCCGGGTGCGGCGGTTTTGGCGTGTGCGGTAGGCGAGCCGATGGGTTTCCGAGGATCCGAGTCCTGGTCGGTGCGTCGCAAAGCCGGGCCCTGGGCTGCGGAGGGGCCCGACACGACGGCGTCGCGAGACACAGGTCCAGCGACGCCGCTGGTGACGCCAGGAGGCAGGCTCGTGATCCTGGGCCCGAGGCCGACCGAAAAGTCGTCGTCGGAGGCCGTAGGGGTGCCGTTGCCACCTCTAGGTCCGGTGCCGCGAGCGTTGCCGTTGGCGTTGAGATCGTTGGGCCCAGGGACGAAGCCCGGGGCGCGGCCTCGCCCGGGGCTACCAAAGGGCGAGGCCCCGGGTGGCGGATGTCCGCCGGAGGGAACGGGCCCGATATGGCCGGGATGATAAGGCGGGGCAGAGTTGGCGGACGACTGTCTGCCCATGACATCGACATCGTCCTCGCGGTTTTCCAGTCGTTGCCGACCGGAGGAGCAGATCGGCGCGGCCGAGGTGGACATAGTGGTGGCCGTCGCCATCAGCGCCTCCGCCGGTCGGCCATCGCGGTAGCGCATGTTCCTGGGGTCGCTCCTAATGTCGTTCCGAGGGAGGTGAGATACGGGCACCGCGGTCCGTATCGCCGCGGCGGGGTTGTAGGTCCTGGTGGGGTCCTCCGTCGATGAGCCGCGATAGTGGCCAGGCTCCGGAGGCAGCCTCATCGGAGGAGACTCCCCGTGGTAGGGCACGCCCGGTTTAGGGGAGCCTCGCTCCGGGGAGTAGCCCGCTCCGTAGGTCCTCGCCTGCTGCAGCTCCGAGGGCGGCACGTAGGTGCTCCTGTTGACCGCCTGCAGGTCCGCCACGGATGTGGTCGCCGACACGCTGGAGTCGTAGCTCTGGCTACGAGGCGAGCGGGTGCGGGAGCCGACCCCGACCCCGACTCCGACTCCGACTCCGACGCGGGGGTTCTGGCCGAGATGGGCCTTGCCGGTCATGACAACGTAGTCGCCGCCCCCGGTTGACCCCCCGCCGTTCACGTTCCCGTGGTACGGACTGGGCACCTGGGGCCCGGGCTTGTTGTGGCCGACTTCCTGGTGCAGATGCACCTCTTGAATGTTCTCGTAGACCGGCGGCGCCTCGTAGGGCGGGGACTCCTTGTTCGGAGAAGCCTCCCGCACTTGGGGTCGACCGCCGCTGGGCACCTGCGGCTGGGCTTTCCGGAACCCCAGGAGTCCGGTATCGTAGGCGTCCCCGGTGGTTGCCATGGACGTTCTGGGACTCCCTCGCTGGCCCGGGGGCGGACTCTTCCTCGGCTCCACCGGCTGGTAGTACCCCGGATGCTGGGCCGAGTGATGCGACTGGTGCACGGGGTGCTGCGTCGGGTAGTATTCGATGTTTTCGTACACCGGAGTCTGCTGTTGCTGCTGCTGGTGCCGGTGGTGGTGCCGGTGCGGATACTGCTTGCCTCCGTCCACCTGCTCCACCGGCTTGGGGGTGGCGAACCTGGAAGCGGCTATGATGTTCTCGCGCTCGTAGAGCTTGTACTCGAGGGTCGGGGCAGGCGCGGGGGCGTGCTCGCCGGGGGCGCCACCGTCGATGAAGCTCTCGATCGCCCCGACCGGCCGGCCCGACCTAGACGCGGAGCCGGGCACCTGCGCCTCGGGTCGCGACCCGGAGCCGCGCCGCGAAGCCGCGGCCGCCGACGAGTAGGGGCTGGGCTCATCGTCCAGCCGGAGGTAGGCCAACTTTTGCGCGTAAGGAGCGTCGGCCGAGTCACACATTTGCCGCTAATGATTCGCCCCTGACCCGGCCACCCCTTGGGATATCCTCGACCAACCCTCGGCAGTTGGATCGACGCCTTTCCCGGGCCACGACGCCGGGGACGGGACGTTAATCCGAGCGGTCTGCGTTCCCGGGAGCCACGAGACGCGTATCCGGGCTCAGAGTTTCCGCGATCGTCGACCCGGTGGCCGGCTCTCCCCGACCAGCACGCCGGACGATCCGTTCCCCGTTTTCGGGATACGCCCCGCGGCGTCTGCCTCCGCGGATCGAATACGCGTCTCTCCGCGCGCAGCCGTGCGCGAGCACCTGCCCGCACCGACCCGAGGTATCACCCACCACCTGCGACGGTTATGCGCGCGCACCGCGACACTCGGCCCACCGGCTCGCACTCGCGAATACGATCGCACTGACGGCTGCCCGACCACCCTCGACGGCGCGACGCGTCCAAGGCGTCTACGGCGTCTGCGACTGCGTTGCGTGCCTCCCAACGAGAGTCCGGCGGCGTCGCAGCTCACGGCCCAGCGAGCTGCAGCGGCTGACCGCCCCAAGGAGCTGACGCGCTCGATCGGGACGTGGGACCGCGCGACGCGCGCGCCACCTGCCAGCGGGCGAGCGCGTCATCTCGCGGGAACTTCGGGAACTCGGAGCCTACTCTATCGACGCACGGTATATTCAATGCGGAGAGTTAACTTTTCTGGAGTCGCAGGCTTCGAGAAAAGGAAGAGTGTTATGCCGAACGCGGCACGTCAAGACGGCGAGAATGAAGGCCAATCGAAATTGCGGCGGAAGTGACGCAGGGAGTTAAACCGAGGTTTGATGGGTTTTTTATCCTCTGCGCGTTTAAGCGCTGTTCTCTGTGTGACGCACGACGCGTTCTGTGGAACTGACCGATGGACGACTTACGAGTTTATAGAAAAAATGGTATTCTTTTTTGATAAAGTGTAATGATTTTCCAAAATGATTTATAAATTGTTGGAATGGCTATACGAGTCATACTGGAATTGAGAAAATGATGAAGAATTGCGGATCTTGTTAACACATAAATTGTCATGCTCGATATGAGCATTTCTATTAAAAATTAGAGATAAATTGCTAATAAACCGGGAAATAGGAATAAGAATAAACGGAAAGCCTATTATATAGGTAGAGAAGGACGACATACAGTTTGGAGTCATAGACGAAGATAGCAACATGGTAACGCTTTAAAATAATAAATATTCTATGCGGCTATAAACTAGAATAAAGATACGCAATTGTACAGTATTTCATGAATGGTTGCCAAAGATTTGCCCGAACTTGTTCGAATTTTGAGGACAAAATAGGCAAAAGTATGTAACCGATCGTAGTGCATTGCGTTGTCTGTAGAGTGCACGTAAGCACATTTCCTAATTTTTTTTTCCATGGGACGCCATGACTGTCGGTAATGTTGCTGCCTCTTTTTGTTTCGTTACCCAAATGGCGCTCGGATCGATTCGATCGTTTCGATCGAGTTCGGGGCATTGCCACCAGCTGGTGACAGAGGTGTTGGAGACCTGCAAAGTTGAAAAGGACGGTAGACGGAAAAACTAAGGAACAAAACAATTAGTTCAAGGACAAAATACGGGGAAAATAGAGATTATGGATGGTTCTCCATCAGTGGAATGCACCACCAGTATTGACTAGACAAACCAGTTTCTCTGGGCATTAACCGATCCGTGGGTGCAGGTAATTACGTGAAAATGAGGTTTTTTACCTCGCACGTAGGAAAGTACGCCGTAAACGGAAATCACGTGTATAAAGCGCGTGGAGAGGAATTTAACCTCGTTTGCTGAGAGTAAATGTTAAAGAGCTGTGAATTTACGCCAGCTTAACGAAGGGGGGCGTGCGAAAGGGGTGACCGCGATTGGGGGACCTCGTATATGTCCAGATTTATAGAAAAAAAGTATATATATATATTCACAGATTAATATCGTGACATAGATGTTTCTTACGCAGATGGATGCAACAGTCGAGCGGAAATAATGTACACGCTGCTAATACATATTTTACGCAATCAACCTGGTCGCCCGATAACTGTGAAGATTAGCGATCGGGGTTAAATGTATCTGTAATGTATGTATAATGTATGTATATGTGCTTAGACGTTTGCAATATATTAATATGCGTATTTCGAAAGGGGTAATCGTTGCAAGGAGCAGGTATTTATCAATGTACCCTTGAGTCTGCATTTTTAACAGGTGCAACTCAGTGCCTTGTTATAGAAATTGTTAAGAGAAAGAGAAGAGGTAAAATGAAAATATAGTTTTTGGCCTCGCAAGGGCGGGTTACCGATGCCGGATGAAATTTGAAGACCTTCGGTGGAATGTATGTGACGGGGGACTACTTATGCGCCTGTGTGAAAAAAAACTTTGAATGTGAGCGTTAAACCGCAGTTCTTTGAGAAATTCGATACGAACTGGTGCGCTGTGAACAAAGCCGAAGTACTAAGCCAAAAATATCTGCACTCTTGTGCTCGCATCATAAGCCCCATAAGAGGAGGTTGTCGCTTAATATGATCCGTCTAGGAGCACCGAAACGTTTACCTCGATCCTACCACTTCTCTATCATTAGATCTTAACACTTTTCCTGTTAGAAGCCTATTAATTAGTTTCGCAATACGCGTGATCGCCATTTATCTCCAAATTCGCAGATCGGTAAAGTGTTAAAGTATGATGAGATCTTTACTCACTTCTCTCATTGGGAACAAGCGATCGTAAAACTGACTTAAAGTGATATGAAAGGGTCATTCGATATATATATATCAACATATTTATAAAGCTTTTCTCCAAACTAAGTGCACGGAATAATTTAAAACATTAACACATGAGTACGGAGGTCCTAATGAAAGTCTTGAAACTCGAAATTTCATATTTAAAAAAAATACTTTTTTTTTGGTTCTTCTTCGGGATGACAAAAGATTTTGTGCGAAAACTGAAATCTCACGAGTTTCAAGACCTTCATTAGGACCTTCATAATCACGGGTTAAAGTTTGAAATTATTTGGTGTACCAGTTCGGAGGAGAGTTTTATAAACATTTGCTTGGTATGTATAACATACCGACATAACAAGTTTCATAACACCTTAAGTATTTCACTTAATCGGTTCACAGTACCAGAGAGACCACCGTCATCAGGAGTAAGAAAAAGAGGTGCAGGGGAAGGGAACGGTTCAAACTGTATATTTTCATTTACGAGGGATATTTTGTAACCGAGAAGCAAGGGAGCCGGAAAAAAAAGCCTGTAATTGAATAGTCAACATAGAAGGCACCTTCGGCGACGCCGAGGCCGACGGAAGCAACGTTAGACAGCAACAATGGGACCCGCTGCTTTCCTTTCCCAGAGCCCGGGCCATCCTGAACGTGCGTGCGTCCTCGAGAGAGCCGCTCGTCGAGCGGAAGTGGGAAAGCGAACCGGCATCCTTCATTTTTCCCATATTCGCAGAGTCTGCAGAAATCCTCTCCACTGAATCTGGCTCGATGAGAAATCACGCATGCTTCATCGATTGAGCACTTTACGTTTATTTCCATTTTCAATTTTAACGTAGAATTGCGCCTTTCTCTGACTTAGATAACTCAGATCGTTAAGGAATCGAAAGTCATGTAAAATAAAAGTCAACGGGAGCATACCATGGCTGCCATGCTGCATATATAATATTTACACGTAACTATGTCGAGTTGTGATGGTACGAAAAACGAAACATTCCGTATGTTGGGGAACAAATTAATAATTCAAAAATGTATTTCTTTTTTTCTGCGAGGAGACGACTAACGTATTAATTAGCAACGCTCGCTTCAACAACGTTGATTATTTCGGGTCGTCTTCATTCGGTGACTATGACACCAAATGAAGTTCGGCGAAATATTTCGTCCGCAAATTTCCGAAACAGCCTAATAACATACCTTTAGGAAGAGGATAGACAGCGGGTAGTTCGCGATAAGATATAATGACTATCCGTGAGACCTGTTCCATGGTGACCGTCGTGTGTTATCGGCTATACGGCACGGTCATTATGCATAACTGGTCACGGTACACCACTACTCGTAGTACAGTACCGGCCACCGTAAAGTACCGATTGCGATGCATTACCAGCGATGAGTTACTGACCGCCTTACACGATCTTCTGCGAGCGAGCCACTAAACCGGTGAGATCATTCTCGTGTTCGATCTAATGGCTAGACGACTACTTAGCAAATCTTGATGACACGGTATTTTCGGGTTGCAGCATCGATGAGTTACTCATTGGTAACTAATATCAAAACCCCACTTTTCCATTGCAAACACACCAACGTTACTAATCATCTAGCACGACCTTCCGCAGTCAGCTACTAAACCGGTGAGCTCATTCTCGCGTTCAATCCCTAGTAGCATAGAATAATTTATAAATATTTCTTTGTAATCTTTGCTAAATATCTCAAGCGACAGATTTCTTAAGATTTCTTGTAGATTTCTTTCGAAGATATCCGAAATATTTGTTGAAAATCTCAATGACATATTTAGTTTCAATAATTTATAAAGTTATAGTGAAATTATATTTTTTAATTTATGAACATGTAATAAAAATACATTTTTTACTTCACGAATATTATCGGACACTTCATTTGGTATCAAAAAAACACGAGAAATTTTTCTAATATTTTCGTTCCGCTATTTCATTATGGGAGCAAAACGTGTGATTTTGATTTTAAGTATTTTTAAAACGTTTATAGTGTATTCGGCGGATATTTAAAAAATACTTGTATTAAAATCAAACGAAATGTTTTGTATATCTGGTAGAAAGATATTATGAAAACACGTGGAGCTAATATTATATAAATATTATATGGATAATATTCTAAAGTAAACGTTTTGCAAATGTTTCAAATGTCTGGTAAATATTTACAAAATGTACGATATTCGTTAAATATATAGAAAATATAGGACAAATATTTTGTGCTACTAGGGATGTAACGATATCCCGCCATTTGACAAATATTGAAGACACTGTATATTCGAGTTGCAACGTCGATGCTCAATGGTGACCAATATCGAAACCCCATTTCCCTTTGTGGACGCATCGAATGGGGTCCCTCGAACCCAGTCACGGTCGGGTTGATGAAGTCCCCACCGGAAGCAGCATCGGAAGTAGAGACGCGGATGCGAATCGCGGAGCAGGGAAGGGATCGTCGTGCCGGAAGTGGATGGTAAACCAATCGAAGAGGGCACCACGGGGCACCGTAGGGCATTGTTCCGTCACGTCGACCGTTCCGCAGATCGCGTCGTCCGAATCGCTCCTTCCAAAATTTCCGACGACTCGACCGCTAGAAAATGATGAAATGTGCACGTCGAGTCATCGATTCCGCTCGTCCGTTCCTATTTAAGCGGCCGTTTCAAACGGCGAGCGTTATCGTGGCTCTATGACGAAACAACGGTCGAGCCAAGCGGCGTAATTACTGTCCCCGTTGTGACTAATGTAGACACGAGCGGCAATGTCGCATCGTCCCCACGTTCGCGGTTATACCTTTCCTCGCTGAGCGCATTCTTTCAAAACACTTCTTTTCAATAACCAAATGGTGTAGCTTAACTCAACCTATACGCTGCGGTCCAGCCGAAGGCAGAGCGATACCATTGTGCACTCCATTAACGTATAAACTAAAGGCTACACACGTTACGATAAATCCTAGCGATTTCTAATCCGCGGATTTAAATGAAATTTCCCACAGCGTCGACGGGTTTATAAGTTTCATTGGAAGAATTCATGGCAATTTTGACATTGTTTACATTGTGACTTGGGATTTCCATGATTTTTTAGAAGAACCCAATTTGGGCACTCATGGTAAGGACTTATGGTACAGCTTGCGAGGAAAGACCGTAACGGTGGATCGGCCGAAGAAAGTAACTCAGCACGGGGTATCGCGAAACGAGATCAACCCGAGGACGTTCCATTTTCGGAGCCGGAAATCGCTTCCGCCCCGTACTCGATTCCTATGGAGAGCGGATCCTGGCCGTCGAGTTTTGTCGCGTCTCGTCGCGTCGGGGAGCTCGCGAGCGGTAGTATCCCGTCGCGGGCCGTGCACGCCGCAGGAAAGAATCTCTCGCACGCGGAGACGCTCGCCTGTGGGAAAGTAACGTAACACCATGGGACCCGCTCGCAGCGCCGCGCCGCTGCGAACTCGGGTGACGCAGGCCGCGTGCCGGTGCGCGGTCTGCGTCCTCTCTCGTGGTGTTACGGTGCACCACGCCCGGAGGAACGAGCTTCGCGAAGCGCATCCTCTTCCCCCCGTAAATCGGGCCAGTCTTTCCCGAAAGGGCCGCGCGGTCGCGCTTCGCCTCCAGCCGTGCTTAATTCGATTTTCTACCCGAGATCGATCCGCTCTACAGGAGGTCCCTTGTCTCGGCGCACTCGGTTCTTATCGCGGTCGGATTAAGACCGCGCCGACTCTTTCGGTCGCTCCTCCTCGGCGATCGTCGCTGCAGCGGCGTCCCTTTTGACGTTGCGAGCATGAATCTGTGAAACCTTCCCGGAAAGTGGAGGGAATGTATAATGGCGGACATGAATGCCTCCCCTGGGAGGGCATTGATGTCTCCCAGTGTAGTTGGCGCGGGAAGAGGAGGGAATGTAATGGGGTCTTTTGGCTCTCGTCACTTCTTCTGGCCCACTCAGACGAATTGTGTTTCTTACTTTATACGTCTCTCTTTCATACTTCTTTCATGTGTAATTGTCATATTTAGCTCACATTTGTAGCATTAACTAACGTCATACAATGTCCGCAAATTAATCTCATGGAATGATGCTATAGCTCCTGACAAATTTGTCGCAAATTTTTGTTGAAATTTATTCCGTAATATGCGCACTTATATTGCGGAGATTCCATGCAGCAAATGGTGTGCAAATTGATTGTAAACCGATTATCCTCATCATATGACGATTGTGAATTCCTATGTGGGTACGTTTTTGTTCCATGAGTTTATTTTAACGCGATGGTGGTAAATGATGTGAAAATTGAGGAGGACACGAAGGTTAACCTCAATCGTCTCGAGGTGATATGAAGACGTTGGTGTCTTGATGGACGAACTTTTAGGTCGTTAAATCCGCAACGGCTCTTGACGATCGTTGCCGTAGCGGCATCAAGAGACACGGTCGTGTCTCCAAGTTCATAGACCCCAATTAGTTTTTTACACCAAATGTGTCTTTTGTATCCCTTCCGAGTTATGATCACGAATCTGCGAAATACTTTCGAAAATTCTGGAAAACGAGTTAGGCGCGGGACTCGATCAAGTTTCTTAACGCTTTATCTACCGATACTCGATAAATATCCTTTTTATTGGAACCGCTTAATAACCGGCAGCTTATTAATCGGCTTACTGTTTGTCAGCGCTTATTAACGAGATGTATTAGATGGGATGATGCCGAGTGCAAAGGGTTAACCAGCAGCCTCTTCCTTAAGCGATTATAAATGGTAAACCGAGTATTATCGAATGGTATTATGAAATGGAGAACGGTATTATCGAAGAATCTGCTCTCGAATTAATCGATCTTTTAAGTACCCATCTAATTCACAAGCAATAGATAAAACATTAACCTCCATGATTTCGAGACAATATGGAGATGTTAATTCTTGGTTGGTTGAACTTGGGTTGTGGTGGATATTTCCTGGCTTATAACGTCTCAGACTTCTAGAGATTTTACGTATTTCCCGGAGGGTTCATACACACGCTGTGCGTGTTTCGTGACAAGTGTTCGATACCAGTCGATACTTGTTAGATATCTGTTGTCCGGAACGACGTGCACGAGAGACCGAGCGCAGGGTGAATATTAATTCGAGTGGGCGATTCTCTGCCGTCCAGGCAACAAATATAGCCACCAGGCACCGGCGAGTACCTGTCACACGACAAGAACATTTTTACTCGATGTCCTTCACGTCTCTCTCCAGTTCTCCATATTTCTTTTTCTTAACAAAAAGCACATTATCTCCTCAACAAGGGACCCAACTTCGGGGCAGAATATTCATAGGGCCCGCGGATATGCACAGACTACTTCCTCCAAAATCCATGCTCATTATCTCCACCCTGACAGTGGCCTTCCCATCGCCATAACTGCATATCGGAATAGTTTTCAACTATCTCCCACTACATCCGGACAGCATGGCCCCGGAACAAATGCCTTATCTCTCGTCGCCAGAACGTAACTGGTAGTGTCCGTCCAACGTGACGGGGAAGCAAAGCCGCACCGAGGAGAGGAAAAACAAAACCCCAACAAGTACCTTGGACATCCTAGAACCATCGACAGGACATTTAAAATGTCTTTCTCCCTGAACAAACAGAAAAATTCCTGTGAAATACCTCCCATACCCGGTTCACTCCTCCTCCGTCCAATGGCGCGCGACGCAGTTTTCCCTTTCTGGGCGAGAACTCGCGTCGGGCCCTGGGCCCACGCCTACGCTCCGTTGCGAGGCCGTGGGGACTCGGGAATAAGGGATAAGGAAAAGCTACACAACCCAAGATGGCCGCCTCCCCACTCCGCGGGCCGCCCCTCTCGTCGGTCCCTTGGCGAAGACTGCTCAACGTGTGCGCTCGCTCTCTCCTTTTCTCCCCTACCGGTCGCCGCGAGAGGGACGAGGAAGGAGTCGCTTCCCTCCTTCCCCCTCTCCGGCGCTAGGGCCCAGCCCGCAGCGCGCAGCCCGCACGCTGTGCCGGCGCCCGGCTCGCCGCGGAGCGCGGCCCGCAATCAGTCGCAGTGCAACGTTCCGAGCGTGCGGACGTTTATCGCGGTCGATTGCCCCAGCCGACGGGATGTTATCTCCTGTTACGCGTCTCGGGGACCGTATGAGCCACCGATAGCGAACATTAGACGCTGCGAACATGCCCGACTCGCCTCTGCGGGAAGGAGACGAACTCGCGCTCGCCGTCTGAGAGCGTGGGCCAGTCTGCGCCCGACGCGACACCGCGACACTGCGGGGCCCGGTCCCCGTTGTCTCTTTCCGCGTTGACTCGATGCTTGGTGGACGATCGGCGCGCCCTGGGACTACCTGGTGATTCTTTCACGGATTCGTCCCTGCAATCGTAAGTATTTAAGTATTTAAGTATTTAAATATTTAAATATTTAAATATTTAAATATTTAAATATTTAAGTATTTAAGTATTTAAGTATTGTGAAATCGCGATGGTCAATACTCACGAGTCTTTGAGCCCGTTTTGGTGAGGGTCGTTTAGAACAGGGTCCTTTGAGTCTCTTCGTCGGTCCTCGAGTGCAAGACTTCGACTACCTGCTCGACCGTTGGACAGTGCAGGCAATGAGAGGGCACGTGGTGCAGGGGTGGCCCAAGGATGCCGAACCACGCGTTAAGGTGATATGAAAGGGTGAAAATGTTTATAAAACTTTTCTTCAAACCGGGTGCACCGAATCATTTGAAACTTCAGCACGTAACTGTGAAGGGTCCAAGGAAGAACACGATGTTCATGAAATTTTGATTTAAAAGAAAAAAAGAAACGTATGTATTCTTGGTTCTAGTCTGGGCTAAATAATAAAGTTTGTTATTAAAAATTAAATTTCACGAGGATCACGTCCTGAAGTTTCAAATGATTTTGTGCACAGAGTTTGGAGAAAAGTTTTATAAATATCTTGACGTTTTTATATATAGAATGACCCTTTCATCTCAACTTAATGGTTGTCGGGTTGATATCTATGTAAACATCGAAGACCTCTTTTGTGGATACGTGGGATTGCAGTCTGATCTTGATGACGAGCTTCGCGGGAACGCAGACGGGTGTTGTCCGAGACAATGTTTGAACTTGCCTATCTCGATATACGCGGACAATCGTTTAACGACCGCGTAATGTGCTCATGCATGCTGGGCTGAGGGATCGGGGAGGAAACTCACACCGGAGATTCGATACGCGTGGTAGAGCATGTTCGGCGCCGACTATGCGGCGACCACTGTGCCCGGCAGATTTCCCTGCTCAGTGGGCAATAACCTCGGCCCAAAGTGGGAATCCGATTCCCGTTGAGGCGGCACATATCTCCAAAAGTCAGAGTTACCTGGGTCTCGTGGGAGCCCGACGTGAAGGTCGATTTCTACTACCCGGTCGGACCTGGCGCGGAAACGGAGCGTTTCCGGCAATTCTTGAATTTTTGTATTCACTGTTCACACGAAAGTGGCGTTTATGAAACTTTTCCTCGGAATCGGGTGCACCGAATCGTTTGAAATCTTACCACGTGAATGCGGAGGCCACGAGGAAGGTCTTCACGCCCATGTATTTTTGTCCAACTTGTTTACATACATATTCTTTTTTAACTTTGTATGAAAATTAAATTTTATTAGGATCCTGGCCTTCCTTAAAGCCCCCGCTTTCACGTGATTAGATTGCAAACGATTCGGTGTATCCCGTCCGAAGAAAAGTTTAATCAGTTTCATAAACGAGTACCTTTAAATCCCACTTTCATGCCGCCTTAAGGTGAAGTGAAACCCCCTTCAAATCAGTCGATTCGAATACAACACTTTTTTTCAAGGATATTAGACCAAACTGTCCGAAACTTTGACACGTCACTCCTGATCATCTAAAAATTGTCTTGACACATCCAAAATTTGGATTTTTGGAAAAAATTGTTTAACTTAGGCCAGCCCTGAACATACAATTATCGAAGGCTCTGATAGGAGAAATTAAAGGGTCAGGACAATTTTACGACAATTTAGAACACTCTGGTAGTCGATAAACTCGCATTTTATCGGGATAAGGGCAAAATAAGTGTTGTATGCGCTTCTATGCTAAAACGATGGGAATACAAGGTCTCGGAGTGAACATTTAATTGACCTGGAAATCACAGATGGCGCAGGGGGTCCCTCTGCAGTCAATTAGGGCCCTTGAAAGCATGAACTCAGAGGATTTCTGGAGTTTTACTTCGATTTCTTGATATTTATTGTGCGAAAACGACAGGTGGAGTATGCCATTTGGTACAATACCCAATATAATTCGACACGGCTGTCAATATAAAAACGAACGTCGGCAACGTAGGCATTTAGAAAAATCTTTATCGACGTCGATCAAGTTCCTCGACGTGTTTCACTTCACCTTAATGTGTCGTATCCGCGCCGTGTCCAACGGAGGGTACGAGTCGACTTTAACGCGTTGTCGGGGGTCTCAGCGCGGACTGGGAAGCAAGAAGGTGTACTCGATGGGATGCCGAAGTCGTGTATGATTTTAACGCCTTGCCATTTTATTTCAGCACGGACACCTGAAAAGCAAGAAGTCGGATTCGGCAGGATGCTGAAGCACGTGTCGCTCTCGCCATGGCGGGGGCGAGCGGACAGTCTGAGCCTCGCATCGGGCACCGGCTGCGGGGGGCCCGGAGGGTGCGGGGACCCCGGTAGCTGCGGAAGCGGAAGTCCCACTCCAGGAGACACGCCGCCGCCCTCGAGGGCCTCGTCCTGCGCCTCCCTCGCAGCCCTCACCAGCCTCTCGCCAGCGGACGCAAAGTCCCAACAGGTTAGTCCAGAGTATGTCGTCCCTGTCCGGACAGACGTGACAATCGCATCGTGTATGCGGTTCACCTAAATTATCACCGTATCATCTGCAATACAAAGATGCCCTCATATGACAATTTCATCCTCCGTAACTCACTTCCATTCTCAAGCCGTAAAGAACTGATATAACGCGTTACACTTGGGAACGTGGGATATTTGTTTACAAACATAGTTTATATACTTTTTTATAAATTCATATATCGATACGTTTGATTTAGAAGTATAATCCTTGGTTGCTAACCAGTAATGCACTGAGTTATGTCGGACATATTAAATGAGATTTAAAATGTTAATGTGGAGGTATGCGAGTTCGGGGTCGTGCGCTATAGAGGGTTAAATTTGTGCTACATTTCAGCCAAATGTTCTGTTTATCTACGTACGGGTCTGCAGGCGGTATGTCAGACTCATATTGTCATTCAATGACTGCATTCATTCAATTTAATGTCCGATATGAAAGTCAAATTAGACGTCACAATGTGATTTTAATATGAGTGCAGTACGAGGACGCAGAAGAAGCGCATTGCTATGAAGAACACTGTGACTCATGAAGTGGTATGACAAGTAGAAGCATCTCGGATTATGGGCTTATGAACTGATATTCCAGTGCCTGCACATGCGTCGAAAGCAGCGCGGAGTTCCTTTTAACTTTTTTCAACTCGAATAACTTTTTAATTCTTCTAACCATTTCTGATGAAATTTTCGACGAAGCATATTGACGTCATAAGGTTTCTTTTTTTCCCCCATGAAAGTGCGACACCATTATGACATTCTTAAAATGACGTCATTTTGACATCACGCCGTTACGACATTTTTTAGCGACGTATCGGTCATAATCAGAATTTCACGAGAAAGCGAATGTGGTTAAAATTATCGCGCTAGGAGTTAGGTACGGAGTTGGTACCAATTAGCTATCTAGTTAATATGGGGATCAACGTAGGCAACGAGGATGATATATAACTTATCCCTGAACTTTGGACCAGGAGAAATTCAGCGCCCGATCGTAGAAACCTCGTCCTGGGAAGTGTGACGTTCTTAACCATGCAATTACGGTTGATTCAACACTTTCTCGGGACAGGTATGCGGCGGCAACGAGTTGTGACTAATCTCACCCGAACAAGTGCAGTCGGTAATACGGTCGGGCAGAATCCGTTTTGTCCATAAAGGGGGATGAATCAACCGGAATCGGATTTGTCGCGCGGCGGCGAAAACGCGCTTGGCGCGAAACGCAGCCGAGTGTCCCTGGCACGCCCGAGTCTCTTTGTTCGCCGGGGCATCGACTCTCATTGCCTGCGAATCTGGATGGGTTTAGTAGAACTTTCGGAGGGCTAAGTAAAAACGGGAGCGAGAGTAACGTCTGAGGATCCTTAATTGATGGGAACGAGTCGTAGAAGAGTCCCTTGGGTGCGTGGGTCCGCCTCTCTCGAGAGAAAGAGAGGAGCGGTTCTCTGGCGGATCGAAAAAACCGCAAGGGAGCCGAATGCGTCGAGCCGGGAATTGTCGCGCATATTGCGACCAGCTGAAGGCGGAAAAAAGGAGCCGCTGCGGATCGAGGGTCCTCGGGCCCCTCGAGACAGAGAGAGAGACCGCGAAGAATGGGAGCCGGCCGAGAGAACGGAGCAGGATCTCGACAATTATTTCTCTAAAATAATGAGAGGAAGAGAGAGAGGGAGGGAGGGAGAGGGACCGCCTTGAAATGCGTAGATCGCAAACTTTTTCTCAGGCCCGACAGTCGCGGAGAGTTTCACTCTCGGCTCTCGCACGCGCCAATTGGACGGCGGGCCCGCTGCGGTTTCCACGCTGTCGGACCCCGCAGACGACTTCCGCTCGTTTTCCCCGCTTCTAGCCACTCCCTCGTCGACCGACGTGAAAATCGCTACGATTTTCCAAACGAGAACCGCCTTTAAGCCGCAGCTCGGAGTCGAGGGAGACTTGCGATTCCTAACGATGAGCTGTGGTCGCTGACGTTTAATCGATTGCATTGTTTTGCATAATGACTGGATATCTGATGTCCGATAATATACATATTGCGATTATTAGAAGCAGGATTATGGGTCCATGAACTGATATTCTCGTTTTCGGTACGAGAATTGGATTTTGCGTTTTGTCGCGTGCGTTTAAAGCAGCGCGTCGTTCGACGTAATTACCTATACGTTAACATAAAAATTGCTATTGTGTATGTTTGCTACTATATCCATCACTATCAGGAAACTTGATAGGGTTTCGCGCCAAGTACTTGCACACTTGAAAATGTGTTTACTCTGAAACTACACATTGTTACAGTTGCTTTGCACGTGTATACGCCTTTCTTGGTACAATTCAGCGGCGATGACGTGTCTGCAATTTGTCGGAAAACTCTCTGTATGAAATGGGAATTTCAATTAGTGTAGGGATGAGTGGCCCGTTGTAAAGCTTTTCTTATCGTTGAGTACACAGGGTGTTACTCGGAGGGTATCTTTAAGGGCCAGGGAAAAGTATAACTTTTGAGCTCGGTTTCACGATAGGGAACGTTATCCCCTCGTGGCGGTCAAAACACGCCCTCCCACGGGGTACGAATCTTAAGATAAGGGGCACCGATGTTTCCCTTGGCTGTAATCGTGCCGGAGATTACGACGGGGCAGTAAACAATTGCAGATATAACGCGGCGCGAATTCCTCGGCGGCACGGAAAACGTCGTCCGCCGGTATTTATAGTCTCCATTCTAGCCACTCCTGATTAGTACGACGTTTCCGAGATCGTTTCGACTTCCGGCCATTTTAGGCATCGCGCGTTCCATCCGACAAGAAGCTGCCGGAGAAGTTGTAAAAATCCCGGTCGTTCGCGGAATTTACGTCACTCGTATCGAAGGAAAACGCCGGTTCCGGCAATCCGGGAACAAAGTGCCCCTAAGGCGACTCATTTTCGGATACTCACCGATGTAACGCGTAACTTTAAAATCTACAATTTCAAGTCCTTAACTTACACCGGTATCCGCTATGTCGTTGTTACCGAGGAACAAGAAATTGATCGTTAATGCCCACGACAATTGCCACTAGGCTAACAATGCGGTAGGTACGGCATTGCGTTTCTCTCTGTATAACGTACCACTTCTTTGTCAATGTTTCCTTGTTACGTATATTTTCCTCGTGGACGTAGGATATATGGAGCCTGAAAACTCCGCCATTTCCTCGATGTTCTTCAGACGGCAGCGGGAAGAAAAAAGAGGGGCAGAAGACTATCCCTCCTTTTTTTTTTCTCTCTGTATTGCCATTAAATAATCGTTAAATTAGCCGTCGCCATATTCCTTTGTGCATTTTTTTTTTTCACAAGAAAAGAGAGAACAACCTCCCCGTTATCGCTTTTTCGGTTCTGCTATCTTTCTAATCAAACCAGGGTATGGGGTTCATGTATCCTACGGCCATATATATACCATATATTCCTTCTCTTTATTTCACGTCGCCCTGCAATATCGATAACTCCGTCGCCATGGAAATTTCTCGTTTTTTGGTCCTTGGTCATGTTCCCATTAAGCCCGAGTTTTGCTATATTGAATATTTTCTTCGGTCAAGCGTTAGCTAACGCATTTTTTTTTTTTTTCGAGAGAGAGGGAGTATTTCACCTTTCCGACGTCATGTTGGATGTTTATAGTCTTCCGTTCCGAATTTCAAACCCACTGCCGAACTTCTTGGCATTTCCGCTGCGCGATCGGCGCGCCAGTCCCGGCCGGTAGAATCAGGTAGAAGGGAGAGTTCTACTTCAATTTACGTCTATGACGTTGGCCCGCATCCTGACGTGCGTGACCCGAGATCGACGCCATGTTGTTGTCGCGGCTAGCACGGAGGAACGCGTTGCGTCTATACACGAACGCTCACAATTGGCCCGTAATCAGGATACGAGTCGTAATATTCCGGGGGATCGTCCGACTAGATACATCCGGGTGTAGACACGTATAAGGCTGCCTCATCGCTCTCTCTTTCTCATTCGTCCTCCCGGATTTTTTTCTTTTTTTTCGTGGTCACTCGACGCATTGGAGCGTCACGTATGCGTATAATGTGTTTTTGAAAAGTGATAAGTACCAAAGAATTCAGGAGTTTCCATAGAAGTACTGATTTGATAATTACGCTTGATGCTCTAAATCGACTGACAAACCAAGATTAGGGGTAAAAGAGAGAACGCACGTGTCCTGCCCCATATCGCCATAAGATTAAGGGGATGTGAAAGTGGCGTCGAAGAGGTTTTGTTTATAAAACTTTTCTCTCAATTCGATTTACCGAATAGTTTGATACTTTACACCGTGAATAGGGAGACTGTAAGGAAGGTCCTGAAACTCATGAAATTTCCATTCTTTTCAAATTTGTTTATTGGTATTTTAAAAATAGTTTACAAAAAATGAAATTTCGCGAGTTTCAGGACCTACCTTAGGGTCTCCATATTCACGTTTTAAAGTATGAAACGATTTGAGAGACCCAGTACGTAGACAAGTTTTATGAACAATTGAGCTTTCGGATGCCGCTTTCACATCTTAAGAGAGACGGAGGGATGATCCCAACGCCGCTACCGGTTGGCTAACACACTAATTATTGAGCACGGCGGCTCACGTGTCCGTATCCTTTTGGTCTCGGGTGTTAGTTTTGAATTCTTTGCCAGTACTTAACGCCGAAAAGGTTAGCTATGTAAACCGGGCCCATGGATAGTTGGCGGTTCTTGTGGGAGGAGAGATACGACGTTTTTTACGAGTTTATGGTACCACGAGAGATTACGCGTAGCCTTCATGGGCGTAGGATGTTTGGGACTCCCAAATCCCCAACCCTTCTCTTGGTGTTCTTTCGGAGATTGAGAGAAGGAAAGAAGTCAAGCAGAGAAGACGCCTCCTTCTCTTTTGTCGGTAATCAATCATATCTCGCCATGCGCGATTGTTCGCGGAAAAAGAAGGGGGGGAGTGAAAGATCAGCCTCTTTGTCCTCGCTTTCATTTTTAATGCCTTCA